TCAACTACGAGGGCTTTCTGCAACTCCAGGGCAATGACGACATCCTGTCCCACCGAGGGCTCTGCACTTGAGGACTCCACGTCTGAGAGGACTTCATCCTCCACCGAGGGCGCCCCCGAGATATCTTGAGAATCACTCTGGGACGACATGCTGACTCTAGTTCGAGGGCTCGTAGACGCTAGTGTTTTCTAAATTTTCTATCTCCTAACCTAAGGGCACAGTACATGTAGCTAAGAGGTGAAGGGAAAGCGGGCACTGACCTTGAAAGCAGAAGTTCTGACCGAAGGCCTGAGTTTCTCTCACTAGATTTTTTGGCAGAGCTTCACTAAGACAACTGAGTTCGCACAGCGGGGAATGGCCCTGGCCTTGGGGTATTTATAGGCGATGGAATCCGGGCTTGGGCCTGGATTCCGGGCCTCCGGATGGACGCCATCATTACGCACCGTCGTTTCACCCAACCGGTGACGCCGCCCACGAACAGCCAGCCATCACACGCCACGTGTGCCACCCCCCCAACGGCTATATCCTGTCGTTACATATTCCAACGACTATATTTCCAACGGCTATATTCTGGAAGCCCCCGGGTTTTCTACTTCACTCCACTACATCAAGGATAGCCTCCGGGTACACTCACTCAGAAGTGCCCCCGGGGTGTGCCCCACACAGCAAATAACAGACGCCTTCGGGATCACTCCTTCAGAAACCCAGGGCTTCATATCAGGGCATCCCTCGGGGATTCCCCCTCAGCACTGCAAAACCGGGTAGCCCCCGGGGAGTTGCCTCATTGACGGATGACCCACGGCACACAGGTAATGGGAGCCCTCGGGTATCTTCATCACCAACTAATCAACAAACAGTGGACCCCCCGGTAACAACTCCATTGCCGCCCTCATCCAGCAGGCCCTCGATCCCCGAATTGAGGGGCTCCCCTTCGGCGCCACCAGGACATCAACAGCAAGCCTTCGGCTAATCAACACAGGAGCCCTCAGAAGAGAGAGCCTTCAGCACTCCCGTGATGCTCCATTTTTTTTACCAAGGTTTGACATTTTCGATTCATCATTGGGGGAATTCGGTGCACTCTTTTTCCCTCATTAGGATTTTTTCCCAAAGGGTTTTTCCTGATGAGGTTTTTAACGAGGCATCCCCCCAAAATGAAACGAAAAACGTCAGCCTTCGGCCCACAACAGCAACGCAACTACTCTACTCCTTTTCACCACTTTACAAGTGCCTCAAGGAGTGGGGGACTGGAGGACCCCCTCGGGAAAATCATTAAATTACAAAATTAGTGAAATTCCAACAAACGACAAGGCAAGCCCTCAAGTCCCGACATGTGGGTAACTGAGGGACTGCCTTCGGCAGGGACATAAGAGCAACAACTCCTCACCAACTTCAGAGATCACGATGGGACAACATCAAAGGGCAAGCACAAGTTACTCCTTTTCCCTCAAGTACCTTTCGGCAAAAGGAGTGAGGGACTCCTGATGGAGTATATGGCCCGGGAACCCCCGGCCCACAGACTCCTACTACTCCAGCGAAGGCCCAACAGGCCCAGAAGGCTCAACAGGCCCAGATCACAGAGCCCAGAGTACCAGACAGCCCGCACTACGCGCCAGGGGTGCCTTCGCCCCCCTGGCCGAAGGCTCTAAACTCTCACAGGACGGGCTTCGCAAACAAATTAAGAAACTGGGAGAAAACGGCGAAAACAGTAGCCCTCGGCACTGTGAGCCCTCGGCACCAGAGTGCCATCGGTTGGAGGAGCCCTCGGCCATTGCTCTATAGCCGAAGGCATCTCACCCGACAAGATATCCGCCCCACATGCGTGCAGATCACCGTACCCTGCACAGACGTCCCATCCAACAGCCGCATTAAATGCGGCCACATGCGGCCACATGCGGCTGCCAGCGCCAACCAGTTGAGGTGACCCCTCGGTATTTCTCCGGGATCCGGGCCGCCAATACCCTTGGGGTAAATGGCGTCCGAGTCCGGAGCTGGATGACGGGTTCTCCGGAGCCCTCGACCACCTTCTTCTGCAATTCCTCCATTTTGGCCATCATGGCCTCGTATTTGAGATCTGAATGAGGGGTGGAGGTGGTGGCGTGAGCTTTGTTGGACTCCATCTCGTCAAGCCGGCGTTGGAGGGCCGCAATAATTTCGTCCCGGGGATCCTTCGGGAGGGTCTCCGCCCCCTGCGAACGAACCCGGGCCGAGTGGGCCTGGTTGATCTGGTGGCGAGCGTCATCGGCATGAAGGGGTGTATCAGAGTATAATGCTCTTATATTTTTTTTTATAATCTTGTTATACAATTGTGATGAATATGAAGATTGTCTAGAAAATTGTATTCTTGACTTCATATGCCTGTTATTTGTATTTGAGTTTTTATTTTTTATCGATTTCATTAAGTTTATCGCATACATTGTTCAGTAATATTTGTGTGATCATGTTTACTTTTTCATTCATCTTTGTATTGGATATTGTCTTTATTCTATTATCATATAAGTATACTTGATACTTTTTAGGATTTTTAAATTTCACTATTTTCGATTCAAGATTACATTTTGATAGTTGTATAACACACATAGAACATACATCTAATATATCAGATCAGTTCAGACTAGACCAAAATTAAACAGATCAAATAGAATAATACCAGATTTGACTATACCTAAAATTTCAATCCAATTAAAAACATCCTTATTGATTTTATAATTATAAATTAATGTCTCATAATAAATGAATTCCTCTATATTTTTAGAATGTTAGTTTAATACTACCTTCCTTTGAAATTTACAATATTCAGATGTTCTATTTCGACTACGTTTCATTTACTAATATATTAATTTTTTTTCAAAAAATTGTTAAATTTTTGAAATTTTACACACATGACATATAAAGACCATGAAAAATACTCCCTCCGTCCCTTAAAACTTTGACATCTTTCATTTTTGGGACGTCCCAAAAAACTTTGTCACTTTACCTTTTAATCAATTATTTTGTGGTTTCTATTGTTTCTCTCTCCTCTGCACAAACCTCAACCACACACTTTTTACTTTATTATTGTCCGTGCCGGTCAACTTTGACAAAGTTTTGAGGGATGGAGGGAGTAATTCTTTATTGGATGAGTGAATTTAAAATTGATATGGGGCAATCTAATTATTTACCGCATGGCCGTGTGATCTACGACTAAGATTTTCATTTGAAAACCAATATACTCCGTAGTTGTGAAGTAAAGCTCAATTTAAATTAAAGGTCAATTTTATCATACTCTGGTTACGTAAAGTAAAAATGGGGGGTGCAAGAAGCAACCCCCTTATAAATTTGAGGCACATGTGTTGCAAATAAATATGTTTCTTTTTGTACATTTAATGAGTTACGAAGTACTCTGTATTAAATATGTGTAAATATACATTTATCGACAGTTCACGAGACTTGACCAGATTTTGTTTTTAAATTACATATATGATATTGGTGTCATATGAAAGATCACAAAAAAATATTTAATTTGGTATAATTTCTATAAAAATTGGAGTAAAAATGAAAAAGTTATGACATTTCATAAAAAAAGTAATTACTTGACACATGGCACACTTTTATCGGATGTATAACTAAGGTTGAAATTCCTATGGACAAGAGAATAGCCGAGTCTTGAGCTAAGGAGGTGCGCATAGCCTTTTTATTTTAATTAACTAGTATTCTACCCGTGCGATGCACGGGAAAATATATTACTCATATGAAAAAGTAAGTTTTTGAACCATGTGAATTATTCATGTAATTTAATAATTTATCACATATAAATTAGATTGTCATAATGTAATAATTGTAAATATAAATGAACAGAACAAAATCTAAGAAACAAAAGATTTCCACAATAATAAAAGCATATTGAAGGATGAAAGTTATAAATGTTTTACAAATTTCAAAATGCTTGCATAAATACAATATTTGTTGTTACATTGATACTTTTGCGATTTTTGTGACATATAACTATTTTCAAACCACCGATATTAGAGTCAATGGATATTAGACAATTAGAAGAAATTGTGTTCTTTGAAACTTTAAAGACAGCCTCAAACCATCTAGTTCAAGGACATTCTTGTTCTTAACTCCTTTTCACCTCCTTTCAAAAAAACTCCTTTCAACCTATGTTAAACAACCAGTCCGAAAAGCAACCCGGTCACATATTTGATATGATTTTCATGGTTAAAAAAACAAATAGTATATAAATATATTGCATATTATTTCTCTTTAGGGTATTGAAATTGTAATTTATTGGTTTAAAATGCTTTAAAATTAAAAAAAGTTTTTTTTGGGGAAAAGACAATCCAAACCCGAGTTTTCTGGTCTGAGTCTGTACCGATTTTTCCATTTTTTGACCATTTCCGGGTTTTAACTAACAGAACCGAGTTTCAGTCCAGGTTGACCCGGCTTGACCGGGTCAGTTTTTTAAACATAGATTTTCACTTGCACTTTATCCCGTCAAATTTTTTGCTTCCAAAACATGTTTACTTAATCTGGTAATAACCACTCTGGGGAGAATTCTATATGGCTAGAATTAATACTATTAGTATTGATCCATTACTTGAATTTACTCCAATCTAATGAGAATGTATTTCATATCTATACTACCCATGTTTTATTTAAAATATTTTTAATAATTGACAAATCCAGACCAAAATGCAGCCCAAAAGTCCACAATCCAAAGCCCAAAATGTACATGAATTACTCTCCAAACCCAAATTTCTTTCACGCCAACCTAGCGTAACATTCTCATCCCAAAAGCCACCGCCTCAACATCTTCTTCGACCACAACCATAGCCATTGGCACTCGCCCCTGCGCCAACCGATCATCATTTTCCATCTTCTTTTGGCATCACTTGCACCCTCTATGTTCGCCGGTCTCCACCATTAAGCTCATAGACCGATTGCCACCGTGTTGTCCTCACCGACAACCGGTCATCATATACATTTGACGCCTCCGACGACTCTCAGCACCTTTACTACGCCCAATCGTCAACAAAGTTTTCATAGGTAAGTTCTACATTTTAATGACTTTAATTAATTTCTTTTTCATGCAATTCTGAAGTACTTTAATATACTTTCTTTTTCATTTAAAAAGATGTATTTAGTTCGTACACTTCATATTCATTTGCTTGAAAAAAATTCCGTTCAAATTTATATTTTATTATACAAGAACTCAAAAATTGTGATTCTTTGAGTAATATGATCCGGAATTGCTTGTGAATTATGTGGAATGCTTGCATCTAAACGTGCTACTTCAGAAAACATATTACACAAGATTTGATTTGTGAAAAACAAACTGTGATGATTATCCAACTATTTCGTATATCCAAATTTATACTCCGTATTTATTACAGATTTTACCCCAAAGACATATACACACATTTAATGAGTAATTATTGTTGAATTTGCATTGTGAGCATCATAGGATAGATATCAGAAATTGGTTTTAAGCATAGTAATGGGGACATGGAATATATTAACAAAGGGATGAAGGAAGCGTCTCAATGAAGTTTTTTCTTGAAATACATTTCTCTTCTGAATACAAACCCAAAAATAGATAAAAGCTAGAGAGAAGAGAATGGTGGTGTTGAGTTTTTTAAAATAAGGAAAGTTTTGCATTTCTGTTATATGCACGCATGTAGAGTAGTCATCTTTCATGATTCAAATGTGCATGTGCATGTGGGATATGCTGAAAGATTGTTTTTTTTTACTTCAATTCAAAAACAACAATGCCACAAATCCTTCTTAAAGCTAACATGTTGGCTAAATTTTTATTAGAACTCAACTCTAACTTGGAAATTATGAAGAAACTTAAATTAATTTGAAACCTTTTTTGATATTACGACATGATCAAACTGAAATTAATTTGAAACCTTTTTTCTAGATAAAGATACTATACATCTTTGTTAATTTTTGACACAGATTCTTCTCTATTGTGCCTTTTGTTTTTATTTTTACTTATTTGATTGTTTTGACACCAAAGTTGATGCTCATAAAGTGACTACTATTTTTTAATAAAAGATTAATTACTACATCATACTCGATCAGAATCAACTTTAAATAATTAACCCTATTTTATTTTTTATTTTTTAGAACACAAAGAGGTATATATGCAATTACTAAGACTGTGATATTGAGTTTTGATAGGACTGTAATGTTTTTTGCTTTGTTTGGGAGTTTATTTGGATAGTTCTTCTCTGGTTTATTAGTTGGACAAAAGAAAGAGTGTGGTTCAATAAGTGTCTTACGGAGTATTTGAGAAAAACACCGAAGGAAAGTAAAATCGTCATATTGCATTATTTTAACCACTTATCTAGATATTTATTAATGCTGCTTAATCTAATTCACATTCATGGTGATTTATTGCTAATTATATCACACTTGTGCGGAAGAAAAAATACCAGTGAAATTTAGAGTGATATGTACGGTCATGTGCACATAAAAATTTAGAATGAGATATTATTAATCTTTAATACAACAACAAAATAAAAGATTATTGGGATTTAGTGTGATTTCTACATTCGAATAATCAATGTGATTTATACATTCTGCATGTGATTTATACATTTCGCATTTTAGTTTCTTATATGTTTAAACTACAATTTTCATGAGAATGGTATGTTTTAACTAAAGAAAATGTGTTTGACGATAAGAGAGCAATTCACGAGTTGACACAGTAATAGTTATTGATAATAACAAACAAACATTTGAAATTATTAAAGTAGTTCTATAAGTTTAAATGTATGAATCTTATTTTACCTTTACCTGTGATAGATTTCATGTGTATTTTACCTTAATGCCCAATGCATGTCTGAAGAAGTAATCTACAAACCAAAAGTTGGGACATCTAAACACCAATCATGTGTAGAAATCAGATTTCTTACAATAACTATGAGAACAATAATATCATGGTTTGTGTTAGGCAAAGATCTGAAGGTTCTATACCGTCCTACAGAAACGTTGATTTCATGTTTTTGCTTCCTTGTAGCCATTTCTTTGGGCTGCAAGCAATGATGAAGTTGTAAAAAGGTGGAACCCCTAATTATTTGTATAAGCAAGGTTGTATAGAACTGTTGATCTCAGGGCTTTGTTGTGGGTGAACAGTTTGGCCAGCTTCGTTATATGTCAGTAGAGGAGTAGAAAAGTTAGCTCGTATTTATAGTAGAAAGATTCTGGTAGCATTATGCTAGAATATGAAAAGCCACATTTTGGTAGCAAGCATTAAATGTCCACGTGTTGAACAATGTGATAGCACATTCAATGCATAAATGTTGAGCAACGTGAAACACATTCTTTCATACACACCTTTTCATGGAGAAGATAAACAGCCTCAAGCCGTCATAATTACTGCATTATTGTTTGCTAATCCTTTAGATGACCAATATAACATTTCAAACGTATTGAGCTAATCCCACCCAAATTCCCTCCCAAACTGCCCCCACACTTTTCCGTTTATATATATATATATATATAGACGTTGTAATTACACTACTTAGGGTTACATTAAGAAATTTTGGGGGTGCAGGAAGCAAACCCCGTGTTGTTGAGGTTCGTTCTGTATCAGTTCTTTCAGTTTCCGGCCGGTTTTGTGTTTTTGTTGTACACTAAATCGGAACAATGAGATTGGAGAAGTGCTGGTTTTGCTCATCTACTATATACCCTGGCCATGGTATTCAGTTCGTTCGGAATGATGCAAAGGTAGGATACTGTTTTATATACATACATACATGCATACATATCAAGTTCTTGGATTTCCTTTCCGATGTATAATAACAATCAATTTCTTTGATTTATAAGTATAGGCAAATAAAAGTTTATTATAATGAAACAGAAGTATAAATTAAGTCAGTTGGCTTTGTTTGAGCCCAAGGTGCAATTTAGTCCTTTAGTATGGCGTACAATTCAATGCTTACTCGTATGATTCAATGTTCATTGGATCATTTTCATTTTCATTTTCATTTACCTTAGTGCCGCAAAGGCTCCCACCTACGGTGGGGTAAGGGGGGTCGGATGTACGCAGTCTTACCCCTGTACTAAAGCACAGAGAGACTGTTTCCAGATGACCCATAGTGAAAATCGCGTCCAAAATTGCATGGACTGACCGCTGCTCCATAACAAAGAAGCGCAGACAGTTTAGTGAGCCATTTTGCTTTATTCCATCATAATCTCAAGCCAAAAAATAATGAATCTTTGGCTCCATTGCAAATGATGGAAAATCAATGTTTATTGGATACATGTGTATATTGATATGGATTCGGTGCATATTGCTTGGTAATGTATCTGCTTATTTTTTTTATTGAATATCTTTATATCACGCTAACTATCTGGTTCAGTTGAGTGTCAAATGTTTGTTGAGAAAGTTAACCTCGAAATTAGTCACTCTCAGAATTAGTCTCTCAGCTGTCGCTCATTTCACCTTGTTTCGAGTCTTAAGTGTATGTCGTTTAGTCTCTCTGCCTGTCTGGCTTCCTCAACACATAATCATACAAGTGTATAGTGGTTTATTGCATCCTTTATGGTGGTTTATATTCACAAGAAATAAATACACATTCTTCAGTTTTTAGGAGTGTGCATTATTTAAAAAAATCTAAACTGCTGGTGTTCTCTTTCAAAGATATGAGCGTAAGCCTCAAGGTGCGCTGCAGTGTCCCTAAAAAGAATTCTTGACTCTCGATGATAGGCCTAAATAAACATTTGGTTACATATAAGAATAATTCTTACTCCCATAGTCCCCAAAAGAGTCTTATTTGAAGAACTTCTTCAAGGAGCCCGACTTAAGTCAAACTATATTCGAAAGTAGAATTTGTGTAGTCAAGTGGCAAGTGGCTCTAGTAAAATATTATAAACAATCCAGGGAATAAGTTTTAGGGGTATAAGTCACCATTCATAATTTGTAAAAACTTGTAACTGGATTTAGTTGACTTAAAAAAGTTTTACCTTGAGGAGGGGATTCCTCATGTCCACCATGACAAAATCAGAAAACACAGTAAGATTCAGTGCTCCATAAAAAAGAGGCCTAAACTAAGCAATCAAGATCAAAGTGCACTAACACATAAATTTCTTAAGAGTTAATAGTATTAAACCAAACAACAGGCACGCATGGTGTCCTAATTGACTGTTTAAAAGCTGAAACAGTGTGACATGAGGACATGACATAATCCTATGAGTGATTATCTCATATCTCTCTATCATTGACTGTTTAAAAGCTAAGTGAGTTCATGTTAGAGGAATAATGAGAAGAGTCATCACGACCTCGTCTTTGAATCCTCAAATTTCAAATTTTGACTGGTGTCAAGCTTAACGTCATCTGGCTCCTTTGACTTACTACCACTTTGTTAAGGGATTGTGGGAGGTGCTGTTTTGATTCCCCTCTCTTCACTGTATCTATTTTAAAATTACATTTGATAAAACATAGCACTTGACTCATTTGGCATCGTGACCATGCATGCCGGATCCTTTCATTTCCTCCTCATCAAAGTGGTAGTAGCTTAACCCATAATGTAGAAAACATTTAGCAAGCTACTAAACTATCATAGTATCATATCCAGAGCTTATATTGAAACTGAATAAATTAATATGAAAAAGGAAATATAAAACAGAGTACCACTCAAAGTCTCAGCAAATAAAATATCAAATAAACTGAAAGAATAAATTAAACAAATCGACGTAGCAAATTAATGATATTGCTATGAGTCATTTTAAAAACTAATAGACTCAGGAAATAAAATAGGAAAGAAGCCTCCCAAGAAACAGAGTTTAGTATGACAAAGTAAAATAAATGTAGAAGAAGATGAGAAAGAAGTAGACGAAAGGAGGAGGAGAATACCTCATTTGCTTGCAGCTGGGTCATGTCAGAGGGTGCAGCTCGGTCACTGAAGAAAGATTGATGCGCTAGTTCTCAAAGCCTCTGACTTCTCTCCTTCTTTTTCCCTTTTATTAACCTGTTATTACTTTAAAATTGTGCTGAACACCTGGTAACCTTATAGCCCTAACAGTATTCATAAAAAAGTAAACGAAAAGAACCTAATCAGCACACTGTAATGTGTGCTCTTTTGCTAAATGGCCTAAGCCACGATTTGATGTACACTTTTTAATTTTTTTTTGAAACACATGCAGTGTATATTTTTGAAGTTTCCAGATTGTATGTTAGCATTTCACCGTGTCAGGCTACTCAGGAATTAACTACTTATTGCTTAGTTCTGTACTTGTCGAGTATCTAAGACTTATATATTTTCATGTCAAGCTATGTTCAGCCTGTGGGGATCAGTTGTTCCTTGAAATATCAGATTTGCATCAACAATTTGGATTTTTGACTTTTTCACCTTAGTTTGTGGGACATTTTCATATAAGTTATAATCAAGATTTTTTTTGGGCGCGATTTTCACTATAGGTCATCCGGAAACAGTCTCTCTGTGCTTTAGTACAGGGGTAAGACTTCGTACATCCGACCCCCCCTTACCCCACCTTAGGTGGGAGCCTTTGCGGCACTGGGGTAAATGAAAATGAAAATGAAATGAATGAAGATCTTTTTTGTTTTGCAAATTTCCCCTTTTCATACTCCCTCGTCTTATTAGACCTTGCCGACTTTACTTTTCTATTTGTCCTACAAACTTTATCACTTTCCCTTTAAACTATATAATTTGTGGACTTGCTTGTTTCTCTTTTCGCTGTACAAACTTCAAGCACATAATTATTACTTATCTTATTTCATACCTAAATCTAACTTGGCAATGTCCAATGGGACGGATGTGGTATGTTTTTGTTGTCCATATAGCAATTTTGTTTTGGTTACAAAAATTATATATGGAGGCATATTGTTGATTTTCTGTGGCTAAGTAACAAATCGGACAGGTGAATGCTATATTGTTTGTTGTGGGATTGTGTATATGCTTTATCTATATGTATGCCTAAATGGGTGTTTTTTAAACTTTATTGATGATAATCCATGTGTTTCTTCATCTGCAGATTTTTAGGTTCTGTAGATCTAAATGTCACAAGAACTTTAAGATGAAGAGAAATCCACGCAAGGTCAAGTGGACTAAGGCCTATAGGCGGTTGCATGGAAAGGACATGACACAGGCAGGCCACATCTATTTAATCTTCATAAAAAAATGTGTCATTCGCCAATCGGTTTCTTCTTTTTTGTTGCTGTTTTATTTACTGACCGTACTCTACATTTCATGCATTTGCATTTCTTCTTGGAATATTCAAACGGGAAGGACTCAACCTTTGAATTTGAGAGGAAGCGAAATAGGCCTGAAAGATACGACAAGAATGTAACAGAGAACACTTTGAAGGCCATCAAGAAAATTGTTAAAGTCAGGAGTGATAGGGAGGCTACTCATCACAAGAACAGGTTTTTATATGTTGCCAGTTTGTCTACAAATTTTGGTGGATCCATTTATATAGAGATTTTTTCTATAGTATTATCAGATAATGAAAAAGAGGGAAAAATAATTCAAATACCCCATACTTTCAAGGGGTGTGAGGTCAACACCTCAAACTTGCATATGTAATATAAATACCCTGAAGTTTATATAATAAGTTATGTTGGCACCATGATTATATGATTTTTCTTTCACAAATGTAAATTTACGGTGTTAAATTAATAATTTAAATACATTTATCATATATGATCACGGTGCTAGGATAACTTTTTATATAAAGTTCAGAGTATAAATATTACATATACAAGTTTGGGCTATTAATCTCACTCTTTCAAAGTTTGGGGTATTTAAATTATTTTTTCCTGAAAAAGAATACCATCACGGTCACAGTAGTCACTGCAAAAATATTAAAAGTCACATTTTGACTAAGTATTAATATAGTGATATATTTGTGGTTATTGTTGCGTAATCACACTCACATACAAATGTGCATTAATGTTTTTCTTGAAAAATCTCCCAGGTTGAGATCTAAGAAATATATGGTCCAGAAAGTAGATGCAAAGGAACTTGCACAGAGTATCCACATGGTCAAAGTTCCTTTGGCTCTCCAAAAAGATCCTTCACTCACCTTGCCAATCAAGGTCAAGGTCTCACAACAGTCCAAAGAAAACCGCATGGAGGAGTAATGTATCTCTCTGCCTGTACTTGTTCATTACTCATTGCAGACATTGGGCATTCATTACTCTATCCGATCCTACTCCTTCCCCTACTGTATGTCTGTATTGCTGGTGCCCTTTTTTGCTTTAGGTGCTAATAGTTTGATATCATTATATTATGTACTGCAAGGAAAAATGGTGTTTGGTCAACTTCATCAAAGTACAACCTTGTTTGGTTTTGGTATGATGAACGGTTACAAATCATGAATTTTTATTCATATTTTTGAAATCATTTGTTGGTTAAGCGAACTGTATCATCTGCAACTCTTATTTTGCAAGATTCATGGAAAAGTCATGTAGATTTCAACCATGGCATGTAGACATAAACGATAGATGATTTCCATTCCACCGCAATTTGTATTCTTTTTAAAATGTAAAAGTTTATGAGAAAATTCTATAAATAGAATTAAAACATAAATATAGCGTGTAAGAGTTCTTTGATACAGCAACATCCAAGTCTTAATTCCAAAAAATATTGTGATCGGCTAACATGAATTGATACATGATATCACAACCAAATTTGTAAGAGTCCTTTGATGATCTCTAAAAATCTATTTTGTTGTTCTAAATATCTTTTAGTTATTGCTACATAATTATTTTTTAAATTAATCATAAAATTCGTTCGTCTCCCAGTCACCATTTTTAAATTATCTACTTTTTCTTGATCATGCACTAACCTTTTTCTCTATATTCAATTAATTCAAAGATTGCTACATTAGCTTTGGTAAGTTGGTTTAAGGAGGAAAATGCGAAAAAAGAGGGGTGCGATTGTAAAAATATGAAATAGAAGATAAAGAGCTCGTATGGTAATACCCAAATCAGTTGTATTGGTTGATTCTGTTGAAATTTATGAGATTTTGACTTAAATGTCTGGATTGATTGATTTTGCTTATTTATGAAAAAAAATTATTTGAAATATATTTTATTATGTGAAAAATAGCTAAATCAAAATTAACTTTAGTCAATACACTCAGACAAGTAACTTCAATATTATTTTTTCTTATTATTATACGATTCAATCAACGAAACCAAAAGTTATGTTTTTGGTGAAAAAGTTGACTGATGAGTCGAAAAACAAGGTCACTAAATAGGCTCAAGAATATACAGATAATAAGGGTCGTTGAGTATTTTTATAGAAAAAATTTATTAAATAAGGAAACTATAGCAATAGGGTTTCTCTTAAAGTCATGATAATCTTATAAATTAAAATGCCCTAAATAGGACCATCGATTTATCTTTTTAAAATGGAAATAATTTACTCTTTAACTGAGGAAGTTTTATATATTTAATTAATAGAATCAAATAAGTTAAATTTTGTGATAAAATGTACTAGTCTTATATGAGTGTATTTTGTTGTCAGTCCAATTTAGAGCGATTTCTTTCGTGGTTATATGTTACCACTTCATCTATTCTGAATAATTTAATTCATTTTTTTTTTCAAAAATACTATTAAAATAAATTTTATTTACACAAATGTAACTAACAGTTACTACAATGTAGTGTTATAGTTATTTAAGTTTAAAAATTGAACGTGAATTACTCTGATTTCATTATTAAGTTAGTCACTAGTTTCATTTTTATAATTTTCTATTCGCATTTTCAAAATAGAGGGGCTTTGCGTACACTCCTCATGACACTAAGGGTGGATTGGGACAAGACGGATCAAGCCTAGGGCAGGCAAGGTTTAAAAAGGCGGGTTCGGGTTTCAAGGCTGTTTGTTCCTAAGAGGCGAGGCGTAAGCTTTGAGGCGTATTGAGGCGTAAGCCTAAAAAAATACAGACATAAAACTTGATATAATTAAACTAGTAACAAACAACTAAAGAAGCAAAGGATATACATAATTATAAGTCCAAAAAGTGTGAGACACAAATACATGTGACCTATTATCACTAAGTCACTAGACTTCAAACAACAAAAAGAAACATCTCACAAAAACAGACACATCACAGTCTCACAAACACACAGAAACAACCCACACAAATTGCATCACCAAGACCTTCAGAACTACTAGGTGTAGCGGTAGAAGCATGAAATCTTTTCTTTGAACCTCTCACCATTAAATTAATTCTACACAGAAGTATTATTAATGACATGACTAAGGAAACAAAGTAAATCCTTTACCAATTAGAAAACATGAACAACAGTTTTGTAAAAGAAGGATAAAAAGAAGTGAAGGAGAAGAAGAACAACAGTTCTGTAAAAGAAGGATAAAAAGCAGTGAAGGAGAAGAAATGAAGGAGAGGAATTGAATAAGAATAGGAGAAAGAGAAGGGGATGGAGAAGAAGAGAGGAGAAGAAAAGTTACCTGGAAGCTTTTGGGCTGTTGTAAGAAGAGAGAGTTCTTTGCGTAGGTGAATAGAAAGTATACATTAAAGTTCAAATCCTTCAAATCTTTATCAGGATTTGAATGAAATAAGACTTGTTAGGGTTTACTATATGGGCTTCTATTTAGAAAGAACTCTGGGCTTTTTATTAAATGAAATACATGGGCCTGTTTTAAGTCACCGCGCAACAAACGCCTCAAGGCACGCCTCAATCTATGAGGCGTAAGCCTCTTTACCTACGAAAAAAACCTTCACCTTGATACCCGACTAGTACGCCTCATCTTGAGGCGCGCCTCAGAACCCGCCTCATAAGCGCCTTTTTAAACCATGACGGCAGGGTTCGGGTGAACTGCGGGTCAAAGATTATCAAGCCTTGTACCGGCCGATTTGTACCGGTACCGGATCCGGTTCGGGCTACCCGACCCAGTTTGTACCAGGCCGAGCCTTGGTCCAGACCCAGATCGGGCTAGCCCTGTTTTATTTTTTTTTTAATTTTTTTTTGAATTAATTCTAACCCCTGACCCCCCAAACCCCTTAACACCGCCCGGCCCCCCACCTAGCAGCCAGCCTAATGAAAAATTAAAACAAAAAATTTGTGACCATTGAGCTCGGACCGGCCGGTCCGGTCCACCAAAACAGGATCCCAGTACCGCCTGTTTCTTCATCCGGTTCGGGCCCAGGGCTTGGTCTCGGTCAATCGGGACGGGTCGGGCCAAGCCTGCACAGTTGCATGTTCATATGGGGAGGCGTTCACAAAAAGAATTTTTCTTTGAAAAGCCAATTACAAGTTACAACCCATCGCTCTTTATCGGAATAAGAGGAACATCAAATACATACAACTACCTAAAATTACCATATAACGATATTGAATCATTTCAGTAAAAGTAACTCGCAAAGCTACTGAATGTGAATGTTTTTGCTGTCATCATTGGCCCTTGAATTGATGTAAACTCTCGTACCAGACTGCTTGGGACATCTTCGATTAGGGCATCAAATGCCTGGAAGATGGCCCTCTCTGTCGCCACCAACTCTTCCTCAACAATGAACCTCACTTGACCGATTAGTTATACGAAGTATTATCTTTCACATGGTTTACATTCTCATGTATCCACAACTCCACACGTACATTGTTCGCGGTCCTTATTCAACTCCTGCATGAAAACAACCAACTAGAATCACATATTTATTTGAATAGAAAAGCATTGATTGAGAGTTGCTCGGACTAATGTGACTAATGTGTACAAACAGCACAAAGCTCAAAGGTAGTAAACTAGTAAAATAGCATAATCGAATCTGATACTATCCAATATATTTTCACGTGGACCCCAATTTTCCGGTTTGCTTTGATATGTTTTAATTCGGTCTGGTAAAGGTCTGTCTGGTCTGGTATATATGTATTTTACTATTGTCTAAATATGGTCTAGTCTAGTTTGGTATAACACTGAAGGAGTCAAAGTGAAAACTTCCTGGGGATATTATAGAGATACAGATACTATAGGGATATCACTAGAAATATTAATTTGATCAAGTCTGTGTTTGTTTGGGAACTTCACTATTCTTTCTTATTCTTTTCCTACTCTGGCTTCAGTGCTTCCAACGAGCTCGCCACCAACGTTTGGCGTTTCTCGTCACTTCTGCTATACTCAAATCAGCGCTTAACTTGAAAGAGCTGAACTGTTTTTCCTCAAGAACCACACTACTTCTACATTGTTCGCCCTTGCATTGCTCAATGGTCATTCTTCATCTTGCTCCCATTTCATAATTCAGCTTCTAGAATTTACAACTACTCCAAAAACGGCTGTACAGACTATGTTTTGATTTTTTCTGGACTCTTCTTTACCAAATTAATATTTTGCATGGACTAGTTAAGTATTTTGACCACATTCGCTTATGTGTAAATGCGTAATCTAACAAATCTGACACATTAGCTCTCCTATAAATCTATAAGAGGAGAAATAGAGGAGATTTATGGCTGAGTCCAAATATTCACATACCTGAAGCTTTTCTTGTAGAGATTTTATATGCTGGACTGCAAAATCCAACATATCTGCATAGCTTGTTTGCTGCAATCGTTAAAAAATCATTAGAGGCAAAACTTGATGTAGACCACAATAGACCATGCAACGGGGATAATTCCCGAAATAGGAGAAAAAGTTCGAAAATTCCAAAATAGGACTGTCACGTTTTTATTCCCAAAATAGGAGTAATTACTGTCAAGTTTGGAAAATATTGCCATGTTTAAAGTCTGGTACCATTTCCATCATTTGCAATGGAGCCAAAGATTCATTATTTTTTGGCTTGAGATTATGATGGAATAAAGCAAAATGGCTCACTAAACTGTCTGCGCTTCTTTGTTATGGAGAAGCAGTCAGTCCATGCAATTTTGGACGCGATTTTCACTATGGGTGATCCGGAAACAGTCTCTCTGTGCTTTAGTACAGGGGTAAGACTGCGTACATCCGACCCCCCCTTACCCCACCGTAGGTGGGAGCCTTTGCGGCACTGGGGTAAATGAAAATGAAAATGAAAATGTTTAAAGTCTGGTACTGCCAAAATATGACAATAATTAGTCCTGTTTTGGGAGTAAAAACATGATAGTCCTATTTAAGGTAATTTCCCCTATTTTAAACAAAAGTAGGCGGGTAAATGAAGAGTTTGGTGACAATACTGTACCTTATCCATATTAGGGACAAGATCTTGCAACTTCTTTAGCTTTCCACTTATCCTGGTTCTTCTCTCCTGCATATAAATATAAGGTGAGTTACCCAAACAAATTAATTAGCTCGAAATGTTATACTCAACCACGCATGAAAATATCTAAAAAAAACAATGACATTTTCCAGACATGTGTAATGGTAATGTTATATTGCACCCAAAGAAGTGATATCACCTATCCTAATAGCTTTATACTCCAGCCCAACAGGGTGGTGGAGGTAGAGCGGTGAATCACGGTATAACCTTACATTGTTCATAGATGTGATCTAGTATTTGGTGCGCACAATAGCCATTGCATTGGATGAAATCCGACAACGTCAGTGCGATTTGAACCCAGAGACCATTGTGGTAGTGCACCCAACAGCCTCTGCGATGACCATGTGAGCTACCCGTGAAGGCATAATGGTCATTTTCAAGAGAGAGGGTTGGAGGGTCAACCCAGATATGGGTCCATACCAGATTCGCTAAAAATTTATTCCGATTTTCTGGAGCCACCTTTGTTTTTTTAAATTGTGGTCTTGATTATACAACTGGTCATTTTGTATTACGAAACTCATCAAAACTTGCAATACAGGAGCTCACTCTTTCTGCAATGCTACGTGGATGAGTAGCACAACCACGCTTAGCGCGAACTTTGCATGGAACAGAATCTTCAGGGATGTGCAAATAGCTATCCATGGTTTCCATCTCGAGTAGTGCTTCATGTGGCATGCCAAATTGCAACTGAAAAGTGAATGACATTTATATATTCAATTTTCAATTATACGAAGTATTTAAACTTTTTACCAATCAGTTTACATTGAAACAAGTCAACAACCACATGAAATATAATGTAAAAATTGAAATGCAAAACAAATAATCAATGTGAAAACATGATGGCAACCTTGTAACGTGTACATGCTAGTCTATTCAGATGAATGAAAACAAAAAAAAAATTAAAACGAGCTGAATAATATTTATGAGAATCATATGGCTTTCTAAATTAGCTATCCCAAGCTTCTGGTTACGTCTATGGCTGCATTAGCCAAGTATAAAGATCCCAAGCTATTAGGTTTAGCTCTTAGAATAGAACCTTAGTATTAGATACAACTTGATAAATACTACGTATGACCCAACTAAGACTCAAAACTAATAGAGTATATAGATTTTAAAATTTATCTCCTTCAATGTAATGCAAGGTTTGGCTACAATTTAGCTCTCAACGTCTCTGATTACTCATTAGCTCATACTCCATATGAAGTTGACTTCTTAAGATAGAACCTTGAATTATAACACATGTGATCTATTTTATTATGCAAAACAGGGAACATACACACTCAAAGGCACAAAGGGCTTAACGATTCCTCACCTGAGTTTCCATCTCAGCAAGGCCTCCAACAATATCACAATTAATGTTCTTGGCCTGACTAAACGGAGTAACCGAACACATCACTGGCTGGATTTCATTTTCACGCCATGACCCCATTGTAGAAATAGTGTCTGAGTGGTTTTTGTTATTACCCCATGATCCCACGGCAAAGCTCCCTACATTCTCCATGTTGTTACTACCACCAACAACATTCTCGTTTCCCAAGGCTACTTGAGACAGAGTTTCCTGTCTTCCAAGACTTAGCTGAGAATTCAGCCTGGATATACATTGCCTGCTTTCAAGAACACTATGACAACTTCCTGAGCTTAATGAAACTTGAAATCCTACATTGACGTGGTTGGCAAATACGTAGTAATGCATAATGCTGACTTGGTAGACATGTTTTATAGTTGTAATTAAGTGTCTGTCATTTAGATAACGTGGATTTGGTAATCAGAAGTGGTAGAATTAAATAAAGTCAAACGAGATGAACGGCAAAAAAAGAGACATTATACTGAAATTGATTAGTAATTAGTTCCGTGCCCTTTTTTTGAGAATGATTACTGAATTAAAAAGCTACGTAGCCTCTTTTTAAACCGAAAAAACGAACAGAACTGGCAAGGAATGCTTATTGCTTACCGTTATTGTCACCTACAGCGGCAGCAAGTTGGTTGAGAAGCCGGGCTGGCGAACTACTGTGACGCACCAATGATGAAGTAGACGCTCCGCCGCTACAACCGCCGTAAGAAAATGTCAGGTCGCGGGAATCGTAGGATGCCTCGATGGTAGAAGCTGCGGCGGCTTTATTACTACCGCCCTGCTCCGTTGACTTGCTTGTCACGCCCGTTCCAGCGGAACCAGAGAAGTCACGGGAAGTACCGATCGGAGAAGGATGTGAGGTGGCGAGGACGGAGTGGTCAAACGCGCCTCCATTGATGACGGAGTCAATGGCATCCAACCAGTCGGAGCTGGGAGCTGAGCTGTAGCGTGAGAGTCCATCGCCGCCGCTGTGGCGGGCCGTTGAGCCGTGAGAGGATGAGAAGTCGGATGGCGGATACATATGGGACTGGCGGTTGCCAAATGGAAATGGCAGTTTTTGTCTGAGAATTGAAAAGAAGTGGGAATATATTTTAAAAGCTGTTGGGACGCAAGTTGCAGGAGAAAAGTCATGTAGATTGCAGACAAACTTACCATCATCCCATTCAACCATAGTCTGTACACATAAACGATAAGATGTGATTCCCTATTCCATCACAATTTGTACTCTATTTAAATGTGAAATGTTTTAGTGAAAATTCAATTACTCCAACAAATAATAGGATGATTTCCTAAAATAAGAGTAAATTAAGTTTGAAATTCCAAAATAGGACTACTTTGTTTTTATTCCCGAAATGAGATTAACATGACAGTATTTACCAAAATAGGACAACTTTGTTTTTATTCCCGAAATCTTGTAGCCGTGACTGCCAAATAGTTGCAGCACAGTGCATTTAATATGACAATATCGATTATAATTAATGACAGTATTTTTCAATCATGACAGTATTTTTAATACATGACAGTAATAACTCCTATTTCGGGAAGAAAAACATATTAGTCCTATTTTTGGAATTCCAAGTGTCATTCGCTCATATTTTGGGTAATTTCCCCAAATAATATCAGTAAATAATCTAAGTCACTTAATGGGATTATTAATATTTTCTTCCTTAAATGAGATTAATTCACTTATAGTTGTAATAGGACCAAATAAGTTTATTTTTGGAAATAAAATATAATTAGTCTTATTTGTGCATTTGAAGACCGTTTGACAACACTGTTTTTCGGCTTATCAGCCTTATCAGAAAAGTAACGTCGAAGTTACTTTTCTGGTTTTGGCTGAATTTAGTGGCTGAATTTATTGTAGAAGATCATTTTAGCTATTTTTACATATAATTTTTTCCGTATTTTATTAATAAAATACTCCCTCCATCCCGTTGGAATGTTCCCGCTTTCCTTTTTTGGATGTCCCGTTGGAAAGTTCCCATTTCCCTAAATGGAAAGTTACCCTACATCAAAACAGGGTCAAACAGTGTCAAACAGTGTCGAAACAGTGCCAAACAGTGTCGAAACAGTAAAATTTACCACTGGTAAGTTTATTTCCTCAATATGTGTGTAGGTCAAACCGGGAACATTCCAACGGGACGGAGGGAGTATATTTTAAAATTATTTTTTTCTTAAATAAACAAAATCAACCAATGAAGCAACCTTAGTCAGAACTTCATAAATTTCAGCAGAATCAATCAAATCAACCGATTTTCGTGCTACCAAACGAACTCTTCATCTATTTTAGTTCGATCTATTTCGAGCAATTTCTTAAATGTTTATACATACAATTCGGTCGTACTTCATGTGTTCCTCATAATTTAATCCAATTTGCTCGTCACGTGTAATAATATGAAATCTGTGATGTCGTGTTTTAAATGTAGAGATAATTGTTTTTAAAAAGTGTAGAGAAAATTAATAAGAATTCCAGATTAACTATTTAAGATAGAAAAGTTAAGTTTTTGAAACAATAAAAGAATTGAAAAAAATATGGATAAGGAACTCATGAATATTAATAGGGGTTTAATGCATCAAACCCCTCGTGAAATGTAAATTCGGCGCATTAGCCTCCTGTGATTTAAAAAATGCGTCAAATCCCTCTGTGTTATCATTAATCATGCGCCAAACCCCCTCCAAGAACAAATTTAATTTCAAAAAAGATGAAAAATGATTAGTTTTTTTTGTATAATTTAGAAATTTTGACAAAGTTACTTGCATATGATGGAGTATATGGCCCCGGGACCCCCGGCCCACATACTCTTATTACTATAACAAAGGCCCAATGAGCCCAGGAAGCACAGCAGGCCCAAATCACAGCTCCCCAAGTGCCAAGCAGCCCACGACGTGCGCTTGGGTGCCTTCTGCCCCCATGGTCGAAGGCTCATAAACTCGCAGAACAACTGTTTTAGGCAAACGAAGGTACTGGAAGAAAACGGCAAAAATAGTAGCCCTCGCCACCTAGAAGTCCCCGGGATAAAGAGCCTTCGACTAATCATCTACAGCCAAAGGCATCTCCTCGACAGAATCTCTCACCCACATGCGCTGGATCAACGTACCAAGTACAAACATCACATCCAACCACCGCATTTAATGCGGCCACATGCGAGTGCCAGTGCCACCCCATTGAGGTGACCCCTCGACCACCAGAATGATGACATGTGTCCTTATCTAGCATTTATTGCTGCTATAAATAGCATCTCTTTCCCCATTTGTAAACCACACTCAATACGCTTTAAGCAATACATCAATATACACTCTATCTCCACTTTTGCTCTGACTTCTCTCTAAGTTACCCCCGCATACCAGACCAGACCACACCAGACCAGTTCATACCAGATCTGACCATACCAGACTTGGATAGTTATAAAAATACAAAGAAACCAGACCAGTTCAGACCAGACCAGATCAGACCAGATCAAACCTGACCAGACCAGACCGGCAAATTACAGTCCAAGTAAAAACATCCTTAGTGTCTAAGCGCGTTCGTACAATCGTGTTATCTTCATATTGTATGAACATAGTTCATACAATATTCGGCAATTACATACATAACAAGAATAACATTCAGAGGCGGATCCAGAAATGAGGGGTGGGGTGGGCTAAGCAGTAAAAAAGATTTTTTACTGCACATGAAAGGTTTAGCTTAGGATTGTCATCGAACTGAGATTTTTTCGAACTACTCCATTTCAAACGCGATTTCAAATTTAATTTAACGACCCGAGTTTGACGAGCTTCAAACTCGAAAACATGCTAGATTTTGAGTTCGAATAGTTATTCAAGCCGAGTTCGAGCTTAGTGATGTTCGGTTGGATCCGGGCTCTAGCCTATCGATAACTTATACTTCGTAAGTTATACGAAAAAAATTATATATTACTAAAATTTAAACGTTTTAGTAAGATTTTATAAATTTATTGATGATTATTAAAGATTTTAGTATTTCAAAATTCAATTAATTTTTTAATTCTTTCTTAGCATGCCCACACAATAAATAAATCTTTCTCTAATCTTCAATTGTGTAATAAATAATCATTCCCTAATCTTTAATTCTATCTTTAATCATTATAAATTTACAATGAATCAACACTATTTTATTATATACTGAAAAATTCAATTAATAATCAAATAGATTACAAAACTAAAAATAATAATACAGAATAACACAAAGTCACAAATAATACAATGTTTAACAAATAAAACACGACGACACAATTGCTCCCGGCCCTCTGTGTTAAACATATATTCAAATAGATTAACAATGTTTCACAAAATAATACTTCGTACAATGCTTAACAAATAATACAATGGTTAATCAAGAAAAAAAATCTGTAAAAAATCTGTAAAATAATGCAATTCTTTCCTTTCTTGGCAATGTATTCATTATCCATTCTAAAAAACATTTCCATTTTATCCATTTTATCCATTCTGAGGTGATAGAGTATCCTTTCTTGGGATGACCTATTTTTGATGTCTTTGCTATTGTACAGATGTACATAAACACTTTTGGATATATATATTTACATTTTATCCAAAAAAAATAAGTATTCTCAAGTTTCAATTGTATAATAACTAAATCATTTTATACTCTCTAATTCTATCTTTAATCATTATATATTTATAATGAAATAAACACTATTTAATTATGTACTGAAAAATTCAATCAATAATCATAATGATTCACCAATCCTAAAACTCTAAAATGCTAAAATTAATACTCCCTCCGTCCCAAAATGAACTTCACAGCCACTATTCACATGGTCAACTTAAATTACTCTTAATCTTATGTTTATATATCAAATTTTTATCAAACTTATATATTTTTTATCAACCTTTGTAGCGGTTTTAATGTAGTTTCTCAATATGTAAATTTTATTCGCATATCGCGGCTCTAATTGCGTAGACCGAGAGATGAGAGAATTAACCTGGAATGTGGGTTGTGGGCTGAAGAGCTAGGCTGAGATTTAATTTAGGGCTGGGTTGAGAATTAATTTTGAGGTGAGCTCAAAATAAAACATATACCTATACTAACTATAAAAAAAATTATAGTAGAAATATTCAATGTTTAATCATGGACCACATGTCCACATGCAGCCAAAATGTGAGCTTGCATGTCCAAAACAAAGTATTTCAAGTACAAATATCCAGAACATTGTTTATAATTTTAAAATCCATAATGAAAAGTAAAACAAATGCATTACACATCTGGAGTTGTTTCAATAAAAACTAAAACAAATGCAATACATATTTTCTGTTTCCATGTTTTATTTAATTTTGAGTTTCACTTTTGACTAAGGATGTTTTTTTTTTTAATTTGAACTGATCTTAGTCTGACTTAGGACTCCAAATAAAAACAGTGTAACATCATTTTCATTTTTAAAGGACGCCAACTTTCCTATTTTGTTTCTTATACTATTCTCTGTTCTTTAATTCTTGCAACACTTTGACTTTCACGTTTGTCAACACACAACTTTGATTGTATTTATGTTTAATTATGTATTAGTAAACATTATAAAATGTTGATATTTTGGAAATTCACATCGATAGTAATTCAATAATATTTTATACGAAATAATTTGATTATGAATATTAGTAGAAAATCGTGGTCAAAGCAAGGTCTGTGAATAGTGCAAAAGTCACAACGTTGCAAAAATTAAAGAAGGAGGAAGTATCTTGGTATCCTAAACATGCAAAACTTGACGACCCAACACAATTAAGTGATTAATACGTATTAACACACTTATTCAGTAAATTAAGAAAACGAAAAAATTCTTGAAAATATGTTAGCTATTTTAAACCTTGGCTCCTACAATATATAATTTTCAAAGTCTGACTTCCTTAATCATAAATTTGTGGTTCCGCGACAATAGAATTGGACAGCATCCCCTCGCATATCTCGCATTAGTATAACTACTTCATTAAGAAATACTCGTACATATGCCACACGATACGGAAACACACTTATGTGGAAATAATAAACAGACTTAACCAGACTGGTAGCCCTGACTGTATATTTATAATGAAATAAGTCTCCAAATACAATTAGGATACTGCCTAATAATTAATACATAATTAATTCTACTCTATTACACCCCCTCAATCTATGCAGGAGGAACTACGTGTAGATTGTCTCGTAAAAATAAAAACTGTTGAGGAGCCAAACACTTGGTAAAAATATCTGCTAACTGAAACTTTGTAGGAACATACTGAACCAGGAGATCACCATGAGCTACTCGTTCTCGAACGAAATGATAATCAATATCAATGTGCTTACTGCGAGCATGCTGAATGGGATTAACAGATAAAATGAGGCAGAAATATTATCACATAAAAGGCGAACCGGTCGATGCAGAGGAAATCCGAGCTCAAAAAGTATAGACCGGATATGCAGCGTGTCTTGCACCGTATATGCAATAGCGCGATACTCAGCTTCAGTAGAGGATCTGGAGACAGTGGGTTTCTTCTTAGAGCGCCAAGAGATCAAATTCGAACCCAGAAAAACAGCATAGCCAGTAGTGGACCGACTACTATCAGGGCAACCAGCCCAATCAGCATCAGAGTACACAAGAACTGAGAATGGGCGTTCTGCCGGCCGAAGAAGAAGCCCATGCGTGAGAGTGCCCTGCAGATACCTGAAAATTCTCTTCACAGCCAACATATGTGAAGTACGGGGTGCATGCATAAATTGAGAAACCAAGTGAACAACATATGTAATATCAGGTCTAGTCATAGTCAAATACTGCAATGCACCTACCATGCTACCATACTCTGTAGGATCAGCAAGTAACTCACCATCAGTGAGAGACAACTTAGTTCTATTAGGGAGTGGCGTGCGTACAGATTTAAGAGTGTGAAGGTGAAAACGGTGTAACAGATCTGACACATATTGGGCTTGAGATAAAAATAAACCATTAGAATTGCGCACAGCCTGAACTCCCAAGAAAAAATGGAGATCACCAAGATCTTTCATAGCAAAGTATTTCCCTAGAATAGAAATAAACTGACTGATAAAAGATGAGGAATTACCAGTAATAATAATATCATCCACATATAAAAGTAGATAAAGAATGCGTGTACCATGACGAAAAATGAACAGAGAATTATCAGCACGACTGCATACAAAACCATGAGTTAAGAGAAAGCTACTGAAACGATAGAACCAGGCCCGGGGAGCCTGTTTAAGACCATAAATGGCCTTGCGCAGGCGACATATGTGATGAGGGAAGTTGGGATGAATAAACCCGGGTGGTTGACGCATATACACCTCTTCAGTCAAGTTACCATGAAGAAAAGCATTTTTAACATCCAACTGGCAAATAGGCCAATTATAGGAAACAGCTAGTGTGAGAACAATTCGAACAGTTGTGGGTTTAACAACAGGACTAAAGGTTTCGGAAAAATCAATCCCTGCCTGTTGCTTAAACCCTTGAGCAACCAGACGTGCTTTATGACGTTCAATAGATCCATCAGACCGATATTTAGTTTTATAAATCCATTTAGACCCAACCACATTTTTACTAGAGTCAAACAGCACCAACTCCCATGTTTTATTAGCAATAAGTGCATTAAATTCCTCAGCCATTGCCGCTCTCCATTTAAGATCTTTATTAGCAACAGAAAAACAAGTAGGATCATGAATCAAAACCTCAGTGTTTAAATTAAAAATCGTTTTTGGTTTGAAAATTCCTGATTTAGATCGTGTTTGCATGGGATGAATATTTTGGATCAAGCACGGATGGGACACCGGACTCGCACGATCATCCTCGCTGCCAGACGATGAGAGATCCGACTGGGCAGTATGCACCGGTGAGCTAGGTAGCGCCGGCGAGCTGGTTACCGAGGCATCCCCAGCTGTCGGTGTACTGCTGGAACCAACCGGCGCCATATGTGGAGCAAGCGGGGACGAAGATACTGTCTGGGAAGCAGATACCGAGGACGAGTTGCGGGAGACCGGTAAGAAAGATGGAAGAGGCGGTGGCTGTCCAGTAGCACTAGAGGATAATGGAGAGGAAGACAGAGGGTATGATGGCAATGTGGTAAGCTGAGAAGACTGTTGGGACACCAAGGCAGCATACGGAAAAATATTCTCATGAAAACGAACATGACGACTGACATAAATCCTATTTGTCCTGGGATCTAAACAACGATAGCCCTTGTATTCTGATGCATAGCCTAGAAAAACACACTGAGTGGAACGTGGAGAGAGCTTGTTGGCCGAAGTAGCAGAAAAATTGGGATAGCAAGCACATCCAAAAACACGCATAAAAGAGAAGTCTGGAGTCCGGTGAAATAATTTTTGGTACGGTGAAAAACCAGTAAATTTAGTAGAGGGTAGACGATTAATAATAAAAGTAGCAGTTAAAACAGCCTCTACCCAAAAAATTGCTGGTAGGCCCGCATCAATCAACATGGTTCTAGCTAACTCAAGAAGATGTCTATGTTTTCGTTCAGCTAGACCATTTTGTTGAGGGGTGTCTGGGCAGGATTTTCGAAAAAGAATGCCATGAGTATTAAAAAATGACCGCATACTTGAATTATCAAATTCACCCCCTCCATCACTTTGAAAAATTTTAATTTTATGATCCAATAAATTTTCCACCAGACATTTAAAAGATTGAAAATGTGTGAAGACTTCACTTTTACGACGCATAGGATAAATCCACGTAAAACGAGAATAATCATCAATAAAGGCAACATAATACTGGAAACCAGAAGATGAAAGCACAGGAGATTGCCAAACATCAGAATGTATTAAAAACAATGGTTTATTAGCAGTATGAAAAACATCTTGAAAAGGTAATCTTTGAGATTTACCCAAACGACACGAAGTACAATCATGATTAAAAGAAGTAAGACTGCTAAGTTGACCTGACTTTCTAAGACCATCTAAAACTCTAGTGCCACAATGTCCCAACCGACGATGCCAGAGTGGTCCAGGTGCTGCGCTAGAGGACAAAGCCAATGGTGGTGATGGAGAAAAATGAATGGGATAAAGATTGCCGCTACTGGAAGCCTGAAGAAGAACCACCCCCGTGATTTTGTCCTTAATCAAAACAGAGTTTTTATCAAAAATAACCATGCAGTTATTGTCAGAACACAGCTTGTGAATAGAAAGCAAATTATATTTAATTTGAGGGACATGATAAACAGATCTTAAATGAAGAGGCTTTGACAAGGAATTAATAGAGATATCACCAATATTTTTAATGGGTAGATTAGTTCCATTAGCTACAGTAACAGCAAGTGGCCCAGAATAAATAGATTTATTAGCTAAAATACCTTCCTGATGAGTCATATGCGCAGAAGCACCGGAGTCTGGAAACCAGACAACGTCATTTTGGTCACTCATAGGTGCAGCAAGAGCAGGGGCAGTCGGCTGATTAAAACGGGACGGACAGGAGACAGCAGAATGACCTGGAGAATAACAAATTTGACATACAACTGGCGGGGAAATAGAACCAAACTGTCCATCAGCTAAGGGTGAGCCTGCAAATCTGTGGTTAGTACCAATAACAAAATAGGGATGCGTATTGGACGATGAAAAAACTGAATTACAAAGTGATGTACCTGATTGTCCCTGTGGAGGTGCACCTGCCGGTGGAAAAGGAAAATATCCTGGCTGAAAGTAGCTGCCCTGTGCTGCGGATCCAGGCCTCGGCTGATAAGGGTATGGCGAATTGGCTGCATAACTTGGCTGCTGGCCATAGCCACGGCCTCTGCCGCGGTTGCCCCGACCTCGCTGACCACGGTTCCCGCGACCACCACGGCCCCGAGCTTGTTGGCCGCGATTATCCTGCCCGTTCCCAGCTGGAGGCGGCTGCTGCGCCGCAAATGCAGTGGGCGAAGGGACAGTGTCTTGAGAACGGAGGTATTGAATGCGATGCTCCTGTTCGATCAATCTAATGCGTAATTTCTCAAACGTGAGTCCCTCCGGGAAGGTGGTCAGAGTTGTCATCATGGATTCATATTCAGGACCAAGACCAAGTAGAGTTTGCTCAAGAAGATCTTTCATAGGTACTGGTGAATTAATGGCGGCGAGAGCTTCTGCAATCTTTTGGATCTCACGCATGTATTGTTCCATGGTCTGATTTTCTTTCTTTTTGCAATTACTCATTAATCGTTTTAATTCCATGGAACGCGCTAAACTAGCAGCCATAAATCGTGATTCCAGACGTTCCCAGATGGTAAAAGAATTTTTTAATGTATGAACTTCAACAAGTATATCACGAGATAAAGTAGCAAACAACCAAGAACGGACTGTTTGATCTAACTTTAGCCAGTAAAAATAATCATTATTTGTTACCTCCCTACGAAGAGCATCAAGTATATAAGGAGGAGGAGCAGGAATTGTACCATCTAGGAAGCCCAATAATCCATGAGAAACCAAAAAGGATTCAAACTGAGTTCTCCAGGGTAGATAGTCTTCAACCGCATCAAGCCTTGTTGTAACAATATTAGTAATATTTGGAGTAGAAAATCCCATGGATTGAACAATAGCCTCAAGTGCCGATCCAGACGAAACAACAGGCTGTCGAGGAGCAGCCAGCCGAACCACTGGTGGCGGCGTGACACCTGACGAGCCGGAAAACGTAGGGCCAGCATACTGTGGACGGGATTCAAAACGCTCTGGCCGGAGAACGGCATCTGGCCTAGGACGGGGACGGCCTGCCGGAGACGACCAATCGAAGACCGGTGGAGTCGACCAGTCAAAGGTTGAAGGTAACGAGGCTGCTGAGATAGGCTGCATAACAGATGAACTGGCGCCAAAAGAGAGACTGAGCGGAGCCATCATCGTGGCGGATGATGCCGGTAGGATGACCGCCGGCGCTGCCGTGGACGGTGGCGCGACTGCGGCGGTAGTGGCGGGCGTTGATGCCATAGGATCGAAAAAAAACTTAAAGAAACCCTAGGGCTCTTGATACCATGTGAAAATAATAAACAGGCTTAATCAGACTGGTAGCCCTGACTGTATATTTATAATGAAATAAGTCTCCAAATACAATTAGGATACTGCCTAATAATTAATACATAATTAATTCTACTCTATTAACTTATTCAATAAATTAAGAAAACGAAATGATCTTCTTATACATTATTTAGCTTAGCTACTAGGTCGGTCGGTCAAACATAAGTCAAACGAAGACTCTTGGAACGGAGGCTAGTGGTTTGCAGTCCACCTCTCGAAGCACAGTCCGGATGCCTTTCCCTCCTCCATTTGCCAAAAGATGGACCCCATTCTCGGGCCCACTCATGTATGCTCTCTTATCCCTTTCCTTACGAAATGACACGTTGAACCGCTTCTCTACATCTGCATGCCATTATTTAAAAGGGAAAACTGTCAAATAGGTCATCGAACTTTCATAAAAAAATCAATTAAGTCCTTCTATAGGAGGTTCTGTCCGGCCGTCGTGATTTGGGGCAGTTCCCGGTGTAATTTTTTTATGAATTTTTTTTGAGCATCTTATTCACCAAGTCTAGTTTACTCATACCAAATTTCAGCTAAAAATTCAATCGGGAACACATTCAAATTAATTCTTAAAGATAACTGCGCATTTTTGTGTTCCCAAATTAATTTGAATGCGCTCCCGATTAATTTTTTAGCTGAAATTTGGTATGAGTAAACTAGACTTGATGAATAAGATGCTCGAAAAATTTCATCAAAAAATTCCACCGGGAACCGCCCCAAATCGCGACGACCGGACAGAATCTTCTATAAAAGGACTCAATTGACTTTTTTATGAAAGTTCGAGAACCTATTTGACAGTTTTTCCTATTGAAAATGACTGTGTATTTATTAAAAGGACCATGTACACAAAATGTGTACTATTGCCTGTGTACAAATGCAATTGAATATCAAATTCTGCCTTTTTCTAAATGAATTGCATGTGTGCACAGACAACTAGGGGGTTTTGTGTACAGTTTATGTACAACTCATGTACATTAAGCATTTTCCTTTATTAAAATTACTAGAGGAAGAATTTTGTTTTGTGTTAAGATATATATTTTCAACTAAAAAAATTCTAATTTGGTTTTAAATGGCCTGGGTTATAAAACACTAATATATACTACTCCTTACTTAGGCCGGGTTATAAACTCTTGTATGTGCCGCTTCTAATAAGATTGAATTATTGCAATTCTTATATGCATGCATGTTTAGATTCAAGTATATACTGTAAAAATTGCTAGAAAGAAGCATCATACGAAGTACTCCCTCCGTCCCATTAGAAGTTCCCGTCCACGGTTCTCATGGTCAACTTAAATCATTTTTAATCTTTTACTTTATAAATCAAATTTTTACCAAATTTACATTTTTTTATCAGGCTTTACAGCGGTTTTAATGTAGTTTCTGAATATGTTAATTTTATTTACTAAAAATAATCAGAGTGTGAACAGGGATTAAGTTGCTTTATCGTCAGTCAAGCATCGTAAACCGTTCACGGGATCAAGTAATGAATGAATTACGTACCTTGAGCAAGGTTATCATAGAGCTGACCATCCCTAGTAATTGCCATCATGATTTGTGGGATTCCAAGAGGGAGCTCATCGCCCCGATCCACCTGCCAAAAGTGGATGGTCTTACCGTACGTTTTGCACACCTTCTCCATGTCCTTCCGCTCGATGGGTCCGGGCACCCCGGGCATGAACAACATCCCGCTCTTCACCTCGAACTCGTGGGAATGCCACAACTTCTTCTCCTCGTCGGGCAGCGTCATGAAAAGCGCCTCCGACACCATGTACTCCACCCCGATCAGCCTCCCGCCCGCTTCCGGCCGGTCGTACAGCAGGCACTGCCGGAACTCCTCGTTTAGGTGCGCGCAGTAGTGGTGCGTCTCCACTTGCCGCGTCATGTCGTCGCCATAGTAGTGAAACCTGATCCAACAAAATTAAATGTGCATAAGCTATTAATGATGATTTCGTATAAATAACTCATGTTAAAGCGTTATTGTAAGAATTTGGCATGTCCCTATGAAATCGTCTATGATCTTTTCCAAATTCCTATCAAAATCTTGAATCTTAGAGCATCTTCAATGCTAAAACGTTAACGGTGCACACGTACGTGGCATGAGAGATAACCAATGAAAAAACAATAAATATAATATCTCTCTCCTTATTTGAAGGATCTTATATCATTTTGCTAAGTTTTTTTTCACAATGTCAAACACAATGTCTACATGTAAACTTTGTGGTTGACATTGCATGTGAAAACTTAACAAAAACACATAAGAACGTGAAAAGATGGAGAGAGAAATGTCATAAAATCAATCTTTTGTGTCTATCTCTCTCATGACACATGTGCACCGTGCACATTGTAGCATTGGAGATGCTCTTAGGCAACTTTAGAACTCCCAAATTGCAAATTAATTTTTTTTGAGAGTAAATTGCAAATTAATTTGATACTAGGAAATATTTTTTCTTTCTTTTTTTGATATACATGGACATAGTTTTAATAAATCTTGATGGTGGAAATTGGAAAGGGATGATAAATGCATGGAGGGAAGGCTGACGCGCATAAGTGGTGGTGGATGTTGTTGACAGGGCCGAAGCTCTGGACGGCGGCGGTGGCTGTTTCAAGGATGGCGGTGCCGGTGTGGGTTGCTTCTCCGGGAACTTCCGGGTGCGTCGACACGTTCACGCCTTCCATTTTACTCGTATTTTTTTGTTTGTGGATCGATCGATATGTAAAGGTGTAAATGGAAAAATATTAGGAAAAAGAAATGTGGAATCGTGTAACACAAAAATTGAGAGCATCCACAATGTTGAATATACTATCCTCCGATTCCATAAAAATGGCAACAGTTTCACTTTTACGTTTGTCAACGCATAACTTTGACTTTAATTATATTTATTTACGTATTAGTAAACATTAAAAGAAAGTTAATATATTGGAAATTTACACTAATACAAATTTATTAACATTTTATATATAATATTTTTATTATATATATTATTAGAAAATCGTACTTAAAGTAATGTATGTGAATAGTGTAGAAATTTCAATGTTGCAATTTTTATGGAACGGAGGAAGTATATACTGGTATATATTATACTCGGTATATAACTGAATAAGAAAACAAGACACTCTTCTATCCCAAAAGGAGACACGTGTCTAGGTAGAGAGCAAGTGAGCAACACGTGGCAAGTAGTGCACAAACCTCAACAAAATGGATGGAGTACATAATACAAATATACGACGAAAGTGTACAAATACATGCGAGTTTATCTTAATTCTTCGGTGGATTTGAGTTATGACACTTCGCAAGCTTCTTAACACACGTCACGAAATAAGGAGGTGTCAATGAAATATAAATATGTTTATACAAATTGTACACAGCTGTATATAAATATCCGTCACAATTCACAAATAATTGGTGTGTTGGCACATGAGAGTAGCCTGTGGGTACATAGAAAACTTGTCCGTACACAGACAATTATTGGATATTTCCACGAACATTAATTTTCATGTCAAAAAGTATATGATAGCCGTCTGACACTGTAATTAGCATGCAATTCAATCTCCTTGTGTGTAGTGTATGTGTGTACAGATGATGTTAGTTTTCTCGCACTTAAAATAGATCGTAGAATACTGATGTAAGTATGAGTATCATCTCCACAGGGACAGACAAAAGGGAATTAAGAATTAAATAAATTCAACGATTAAAAATAAATAAATAAAAAAAATTGTGCGAGAATGGTTTGGTTTGGAAAATTAAATTGCAATTGAACGAATAAAATAAATGAGTTATTTCTAATTAACGATGAAGGGAACATGGATTGATTTCGGGGTAATCAAATTTCTGGCTGATCAGGCTTAATCACATGAAATTAATTTAATTGAGCTTCGCTAATCATTATTAAGTTCTAACCGCTCTCGCGGCGTAGAGTACAATAATTTATGGAACCGGACTGATCTCTCATGCGACAGATATCTAAAATCATCGCCAAAACGAACGAGCGCACGACTCCTTAATCGTTACTAATCTCTTAGTGAACGATTAAGTGTGTGTGAAGGTGTTCTAGAATAAACTAGATCTCTCTTAATTTATTTTACATGCAATTATAATTGAGAATCAATAGAATTGAGAAGAATAGAATTAATTGTCATTAATTAACAAATAGGAACTTACAAATAATCCAAGGGAATTGAAGAATAAGATGAAAAAGTAGAAGAAATAGGATACCTGGGGGCGAAAAACTGCCAAGCACGGCATGCCTCCCTGGTAGGCACGACCGTGCTTCCCTGGTAGGCACGACCGTGCCTGACCTCCAGAGAGTTGGTATCCGTTTCTTCTATAGGCACGACCGTGCCTTCGCTTTCGAATTTGACAATGCTTGCTTCATGAAAGTTGTAGATACTTACGTTTTCTATCCAACACAAGTTGCAAAACTGAATTTGGATCATTCAATCAAAAGATATGAATAAAATGGTGGAAGGTCGCATTCTGAAATCTCAACAGCGATCATCTGTCTTCTTTGTCTGGTTTCACCTTTCTTCTCTCAGATTTTAGCAATGGTATCTTCATATGATTTGTATCCCTTGAAGTTGTCTTTCATGTGGAACTTTAATCATGTTATTTGTATGTTTCTACAAAAAGATATGCTTGAACGATTGACAGAAGATCATCCTGAACGCTGTTTTCAAGCTCTTTCTCTTCATTTGATCCCGTAGCCAATCCTAGAGCTCTTTTATCATCGAATCTTCATCGTGAACCTCTCGGTGACCTCCAAAGCTCTCAATTCTATCTCGAATGCATCATCAACTCATCCCGGTTTCTTCTCAAGTGCCAGTGCCGGACTCTAATTCCTGATTTTCACTCCAAACAATACAAAACTCGAACCAACACCCGTTAACTATGACTACTTGAGCTAAAAATAAGACTTGTAACACAAAATAATTAGGGAAACCATAAAAAATCGATTTAAACATGCATCAAATGTGTGTCTAAATACGGACTTATCAACATACAACAGTTGTCTCTACGCAGATGATTATTTATGCGACCAAAATGTGTATTTTTAGATAGGTCTTACCACACAGGCAATAGTTGTGGGACTCACAGACAACAATTGTTTGGTATGATCATTTTTAAGTGTCTGTGCATGTTCACATAAATTTTATCACACATACAAGTGTACAAATGCAATTTTCCTAATTGAAATGTTTATGTTCCATCCTTAACTCAACTAGGCTAGTTTTTTTTTAAAATACCATATTTAAACGTATCATATTAAATTCAAATTGATCAAATCAGACTTCAACATATCAGACAAGTTCAAATTAAATTAGATAAAAATGATTAGATCAAACTAGATTTAAACTTGGAGCCCAGTTTTGTAGGGAAAAATCTTAACCGGTGTTAGTATTGAACAAAAAAGTTTGATTTGAGACATCCATTGACAACATCAGATGTAGTTAATAGTTAAGATTGTCATTCAATTTTCAAAGATGTCAATATTCGATCATGACTTCATATGCGACGACTACAAGTCTTACGTTCCTGTCACAGACAAATTGAGTATGAAGGTCGTACGTGAAATCAAAATCTCATAGGAGTAGGGGTCGTTTGGTACGGTATACCAACTAATTTATCTCATGCCTTTATCATATCGTAAATTTTTGGTATGCAAAAATGCATACCGTTACCATACCGAAATTTCAGTATACCTTGTCTCAGTATATCGAAATTTCGGCACGGTAAGGTAGGATATCGGTGAATTAGCATGATTTAATATAACCAATTATTATATGTCAAATAAAATTTAGAAAATCAGTGTTAATAGTGATATACTAAAATCATTAATGAAATTAATTATAAAATATCAATGATAACCTATTGGTGTTCTATTAAACTTTGAACAAAAATATTATAAATATGTTTAGATATTTCAACACGTGATATATGACGATAACAACACATTCTGCTAAAATAATTTAGACAACATAGATATAATTAAAAAAACACCTATCTCCAACAAAAAGTATAAATAATTCAAGAAACATGGATATAAAGTCATCTATCCTTGAATTAAGTTAGTGTTTCTAGTCATTTTTACAAATTTAAAGAAATTATTGGCTTGGAATTACAGTATGACGGTATACCGGTATACCATTCATCCAAAATATATACCGATATCATACCAAGTGATCATTCGGTACAATATCATACCGTACTAAAGGTGTCGGTATACCAAACATTTTGGTAAATTCGGTATTTTTCAATATGGTAAGTTTGGCATACCGAAATTTCGGTACTTTCCCCCACCCCTACCTAGAAGGCATTATTACAAGTCTCTAAAACCTTATTCAAGACATGAGGAATGAGTCATCACACCATGATAGGATGGACCAGACAAGATGATTGAAATCGTTAGATGAGAGGCATATCGTCTGACGATAGACAGATTCTGAGAAGCTGCAATATGATACCCTTAAAGTTGTTTTATTTATTTTATTACTTTCCTTTACATGTAAACGATCACTAACTTTAGCATCAGAGGACTGTTGGCTTCTAGCCTATGACCAACCTTAGCAAATTTTTTTTGCACAAGAATAATCAATATTGGATAATGACAATATCCTGACACGCGTTGAATAGTCTTACATATGCGTCAAAACACAAATGACAGTGCTTACATAATTATAAGGGGAAAGTGGGGTTTTCATTTCTTCTACACATGAGTGCAAACACCCCCCGATTCTCTGCAATGTTTTGGCCAAAACTATATAGAAAATACACCATAGAAATATGTGCTTCAAGAGCATAACAACTAACAACATCAAGCTCCAAAACAGAAAGAGACAACATGAATGACATCAACATAAATCCTAAACATTCATGTTTGGGTTGACAATATTACTAGAATCACAAACAAAATAGTGTTCAAAGTTTTTGCAGATATCAGACACACTCATGGAGCCCAACTTGTCATATGTCCAATGATGGACAAAGTCACCTTGTCAACTAAAGTGTCAACATTAACGTGGATAAAGTTCCAATTCACAAGTGTCTAGTCATTAGAACATTAAAGAGCATCAGTTTTTGATATTTTAAAATGAGATAAGAAGAGTTTAACATTTAAAAAACTAAACTCCCAATACAATAATAAATGAAATACTCCCTCTGTCACAAAATGATGGTCCTGTATTTTCTATTTGGGATGTCCCAAAATGATGGTCTTGTTTCTCTTTTTTGTAAGGAAATTAAAGTAGATTACCATTTATTCCCCTACTTTTTATGAACAATAAAAGTAAAAGAATGAACAGTGCAATAAAGTAAGGTTATACAAGTCATTCTACCCCACTTTCTTAATATTTGAACCCAAAAAGTTTAGAACCATCAATTTTAGATGGAGGGAGTACTCCGTATAATCAAAGTAATGATGAATGGTGCAAAATTTAATATGTTGTAGTTCTTCTTCGAAAAAGTTCATATTAAATGTTTTTAGATGATATAGGGGTATGGAACTATGGATAGTCAGTCAAATGCAAAGAATAAATTCCAATTTTGATCATATGAGTTTTATGTCAATTTCACATTAAGTCTACATCTTTCATTTTGTCCACTTTTGATACTTGACTGTTGTTTTTCGCCCATATATGATCATTCTGTCAATTTTGCGGTGGTCAAGGAACATTAAGTGAAATATTAAAAGTGAACAAAATGAAAAACATGGATTTAGAGTCCGTTTGGTAATTCTAGAATCGGCTGAATCGGTTGATTCTGTTGAACTTTTTAAAGTTCTGGCTGAAGTGGCTGTATTGGCTGATTCTGCTGATTTATGAATAAATTATATTTAATTAAAGTAATGTATTTTTTATTCATAAATAAAGAAAAAATATATGAAAAATAGCAAAAATGGTCATCTACGATAACATCTAATACAACCAGAAAAGTAACTACAATCTTACGTTTTCTTATTATTACATAATTTAGCACGTGAAATCAAAATCTACCTAATTGATTAAAAAGGGGCTAATTTAGATCTAAATATATTAATATTAAAATGGAATTTATTGAAATGCAAATGCTTCAGAAGCGTATATAGTACATCCGGCTGTACAGTGCCAGCCGTACAACCGGTGGCAAACTTGTAGTTTTGGTGAAAATCACAGATTCTCTTTAAATGAGCATCAAATCAATTTTGATGAGCATCCAAGTCTCTTCTTTTGAGTATAAGGAGCCTAACAGTGAGTGATGGATGGTGTACCCGGGGGTAGCTTATCCGAGGGGTTATTGCGGAGAATAACTAGAGAGAAGTCAGAGCAAGTAAGTGAGAGAGAGAGAGAGAGTGTATATTCGAAATGTATTCAGCGTATTTCTCTTGGGTTACAAACGGGGAAATGAGGTGCTATTTATAGTAGTAATAAATGCCAGATAGGGACACGTGTCAAGCACCCATTGGCCGAGGGGTCACATCAACTGGTTGGCGCTGTCAATCATATGTGGCCGCATTTAATGCGGCCGTTGGATGTGACGTCGTACTTGTACGGTGATTCAGGCGCATGTGGAGTGGATATTATGTCGAGAAAGGTGACCTCGGCTGTAGGTGATTAGCCGAGGGCTCTGAGTACCGGGGACCTCCTTAGTGTCGAGGGCTACTGATTTTTGCCGTTTTTTCCCAGTAACTTTGTTTGCTTGAGCTGGCCGTCCTGTGAGAATTGGAGCCTTCGGCCAGGGGGCCGAAGGCGTTCCCAGAGTGCCACATGAGTTGTTTAGTACTTGGGGCGCTGTATTTCGGGCCTGCTGTGCTCCCTGGGCCTATTGGGCCTTCATCAGAATAGTAGGAGGTTATGGGCCGGGGGTTCCTGAGCCATATACTCCATCAGTGAGCATCAGTGATACTTGTTTCATTTCTCATATATCACATTCTGTTTATTATTCTTTCGTTTATTAAAAATTTTTAGTCCAAAATGAGCATATATAACTTACAAATTAGTATCAAATAATTAAAAAGTTCATTTGTGTGTGCTCATTCATTTTGGGCGTTATACTCATTTGAGTTTAAGATAAAACTCATTTCTAATGTGCTCAATATTCATTTGTATATGTTCATTTTATGTAGGCGTATACTCATTTGAGACCAACAGCAATAAAGTTTCCTTAGCAACGAATTAGACTCCTGTAGTAATATTATACTCTTGACATAGGAAAGATATGACATATTAAAATGAATATTACACTAATATCAAATGAGTATACATAAATTACAAAATCAGCATTCATAAAACTCATTTCAAATGTCTATTATGCTCATAATTTCATTTATTATGCTCACATATGAAGAATTACGTATAATAAGTGACCAAACTCACTCACCAAACTTAAGTAAGAAAAAGAGAAAAAGGAAGAGTCCAAAACAAGAAAGAGGGAGAAGAAGCAACTAGAGCTATACACCAGGTGCTGCGCACGAGCCGTCGCTCAAGCCAGAGTTTGAGGTGTTGCGCTCGTGTTGGAGAGTTGCGGCGGTTGAGAATCGTCATCTGTGTAGGCGGCGAGCGAAGGATGAGTAACGAGAACGATCTGCGAACTGCGATGGAAGCCCAGCGACATGCGATTTGCGAACTAAAAGGCCGGCTGTACCGTGCACACGGTACATCCGGTTGTACGATGTAATTTACCCAAATGCTTCTGCCTGGTCATTTTTATCCAAAAAAGAGGTATTTACCTAAATAGGAGTAAACCAATTTTTAATTGCCAAAATAGGAGTAAAGTTTAAAAATTTCCTAAACAGGAGTAATAATATGTAATTGGACAAAAACGCCCTTGATGCTTGGAAGTGATACTGCTATGACCAGAACACAGGACCACTGCCTTTCGTCGGTCGCCGCCACTCGCCGCCACTCGCCGCTATTTTCCGGACATCTCCGTCGCCTAAAAAACAGGCGGCCATTGTAGATCTGGACACCGCCGATGCAGATTTTGCTAGCGTCGCCGAAGATCTCGACAACTCTCGCCCTCGTCGGAGGCTGGCCATGCAGATCTAGCCACCGCCGCATCATATCCGACAGCTACTGCTGCAAATCTGACATCCTCAGTTCCAGATTTGGCCGTTGGCGGTGTGAATGCCCAGACTTTTATCAGAATGCCATATTAATGGCATTTGCAAAGAAAAATACAAATTTTTTGAAGACAAAGAAGGCCATTTTGATGGCATTTTTAGAGTTGAACTTGGCATTTTGTAATAATCAAAGAAGAAACGGAACATGGGGAAGAAGAATACCATCTCCGACAGCAGCGACGACGGATTTCGCGATGGCGGCGACAGACTTCGCGATGACGGCGGCGGTGAGGAAGGAGAGAAGTCTGTTGCGCAAACTTGGAGCCAGACTGCTCATCGAGGGGGCATCGAAGAATTGTTCGGGAGTTGCTGTCCGTTGCGAAGCATGGTCTGCGAAAATGAAATAAACTCACAGAGGGTTTTGCCGTTTTGGGGAGTTGGCTGGAGAGGACAATTCATTAAGGGTAGAATAGGAACAAAACAGAAATTCAGTCCTATTTAGATTTTAAAATAAAAGGAGTCCTATTTGAGTGTGCACATTAGACAATACAAATTACATACAAACAATTATTTAATACACAGACAAAACAATCAAACACCTAGAGAATATATTAACTAAGTGTTCGTGTATAAGTTTTGTTTGCGTACAAACATTTTTTATCCATGCGTGCTTAAAGCATCGTCTGTGTATTAATTTATTTTTTCAGTGCATAGACAATAATAATTGTCTGTGTGTTCATTTATTTTGTCTGCATACATACAAAAATAGTGAAATGCTTAGATTATAACCACAATAATCAACCACACAAAGCATCTACATAAACTTTAAATTTAAAATGTAATAACATCAAATGATCAAAGTCACATTCTTTTTCATAACACATAAGGTACATCTTTGAAAACAAAAGGTAAATCTAAATACACTTACATACCGAATTCAAGAACATATGTTACAAAGTGACTATTTACAGGACTAAAATGTGAATGATCTTGTACTTTGGAGCTCACATTCTTGCACTAAAACACTTCTCAAATCCATAAACACAGGCATGCTCAATCTCGTCCACTAACAACCCTCTTTTTCTCTGTGTAGTGGTCACTGTCACAATTGAAATTTAAATGGCTAATAATCTGCATATTGAAAAGCAACGGTGTAAGATTCATAGCATCAATGAAATATTTTGTTAACTCCGTATACATATTATAATAGTATCACTGCCATTGTTCATAGAACTTGGGAGACTCCAAGATAAAGATTTCATAACTTAGCACCAAAATAAAGTAATCAATCTATGTCTCTTGTTAAACATGATATTAATACAAACAAAAATCAGTATTGAACAATGAATGTCAAGATAAAAAACATGTTTTCAAACAATGGAAACATGAAGTTCCTAATTTTAATTAACTGAAGTTCTTTAGTAAAGGAAACCACTTCATCCAAATCTGCATTTGACTCCTCCAAGTAGAAGCTTTCTTCTACTTGGAGGCCAGAGTTAACATACTAAGAAGCCAAGAGAAATAAACAATGTCAGTCATATGCATTCCAAAAATGGATGCAAATTCTAATTCTAATTACTAATGATTTCTAATTGTAGTCCTAATTATTTTCATTACTAAGCCATTCATAATGAAAAAACGTCGAGTCGATATAAATGAGTTATGCAGCCACAGAATTACTGTCTGAAATAATAAATTCATGCTTTCCGCATTCATTTCAACCTTTTAACAAACACCTTATGGGCAAGAAACTAGAATATAATGTTTGGATTATAATCTCAATAATCAACACCACAAATTTCAAAAAAGTACGCAAATATTTCAATAAACAACTTCACAAACATATACTAAACAAAGCATTGTGCTTCACATTAGCGATAAACTGGGATGAGTATTTGCAAATCAAAACAGAAAAGGGATCTAAGAACTGGAGTTCAAATTGAAAACATACCTTCGAGTTTGACGATGAAGATGGCGCACCCAGGGCAGTTGCTTCATCCTGTCTAGATTTCCTTCATATGAATATGTTCCCTTCTATTTAAATATCAATTAATTAAAAAGAGAACAAGAGAAGAAAGTTAGGGCGGAGAGGAAAGTGAGAGATTGGGGGTGGGGTGGGAGACGGGTAAAACATATATGCCGTGTACACGAAGCATTTTTGAATATTCATTACTCCTATTTACGACCATTTTGTCAAAAAAAATAACCAGCTGGTCAGAGGCAAAGTCAACGCATTTCTTCTCTTCATCACTTGCAATACACCCAATCAACTCAATCAATCCAAGACTGTTCAAATCCTGAAACCCCTGCCTACGGTCTCTTTCGTACTCCGTTCCGGCGGGAGTTTATGTCCATTCCCGTCGATCACTGAGGTCGTCACCATGTATGATTTCCACGCATCGGCCACTGAGGACGTGAGGAAACCGACGGCCGTCAGGGCGATGGAGGCCTTAGGCTGCGGCTTTGATTTTGCCAGTGATTTCCGGTTGAAGTTCGCGAAGAGATGCCCCGCCGGAGGAAGATTGGTTGTTCTCGACGAGAAGAACCGGCGTGACCTTGTCTTGCCGGGTGGAGGTGTCACCATCCCAGATGTTTCCGAGAGCATCCGCTGTGATAAGGGGGACCACATGCGGTTTAAGTCTGATGTTCTCGAATTTAATCAGGCATGCGCTTTTGCAGTATGCATATACTGATTTACCTTTCCTTTCTCTTTTAGTGTATACATACATCATCAATTTCTAAACTGGATGGTGGCTGCCCTTAATTTAGTAGCTTCAGATTTTATCCAACTTCTTTCAATGTACAAAGTTACTGCCTCCTTAACCATAGAATCTTCCCAGTTTGACTCTTTTGGGTCAAACTTTATAAACTTTGACAATTAATTATTCAAAACTCACATTATGTTATGATTAAAAATTTATTTCATATACCTCATTGTAAAACATATTATTTGAATGTTAATTTATTATGAATTTTATAACTATATATATGTAGATATTTAGAGTCAAAGTTTCACTTAGAAGACCGTGAAAAGTCAAAATGGGAAGATTCTTGTGTTACGGAGGTAGTATATAATTGCCAGATTACCTCCGGTACTGTAAATGATATTATACCATGATAATTTTTATTTAACAATAAATAATTTTTTAATTCAATCCTATAGAATTCATTATTAAGGAGTATCATTTAGAACTGTTCCCACTCATTAACCAAAATAATTTTTGAAATGCCCGCCATGTATTCAAGTAAAGAGAATGAATAAAAATTTATTGAGCTTAATCGACAAATAACCATTTTTTTTGCCTAAAACTCTGTAGATAGTCTGAACTGAATAACAACAGTAATCAAATTTAGCTTGAATAGTTTTTTGGGGCCATTTATATATATTGCAGCAATGTCACCATATTTATTCCTTGATAAGCACATCTATGTCCCTTAAGGACGTAAGGTCCAAATTGCTGTCAAAATAGCAATGTATTTGACTGTTTGGTCATGTTTTCACTTTGTAACTAAGTAACAAATGAACAATTTGTGTTTCCTTTTCGTTCCTAGAGAATATATCTTTTTTTTGTACTCAGTTAAATGGACAAAAATAATTTAAATATAGAAGTGCAGGCATTTGTATTTGTCATTATATTATACGCAGTATATTTATAGGGTATGCTTACCCACCACCACCAACAACAACATCATCCAAGCCTTAGTCCCAAAAGATAGGTATGCTTACCCACCAACCCATTTATTTTGATTAAGATGTATACTACCACTATGTGTTTAAGATCTTAGTGGGATTTAACTCTGTTAAAGTATTTTTCCCACACCGGAAAGCTTTAAAACAATAAAACACTATATAAGGCTTTGAGCTACTCCTCCTATCAGGTTGAGCTTTTAGGATGAAACTTCAGATCTTAACAAACTCAAGTAAAGAGAATGAATAAAAAGGTTTCATCTGCTTCTGGTTTGTAGGTCATAGGTTTGAATGCACTATAAAGTAATGTTGTACAGAGGAAGCGACTATCTACCTTGAGTACTTGGTGTGCTTGTATTAATTTAGTGATTCTATTTTGTAATTGATTTTTTTCACATTAGCATTAATTTTTTCCCTTCTTAATTTCCCAAATTTGATAATGCTAAACCTGATTGATTGTTACCTTTGTTTTGCAGATGTCAGAATTGCTTAATCAGAAATCATCTGTACAGGCAAAAGTCCCATCTGGCTATCTAAATGCCATATTTGACTTGAGTGGATCTTGGCTGAATGATGCTGCAGATACCAAATACCTTGCCTTTGATGGTTATTTTGTGTCACTATATTATTTGCACTTGACCACATCTCCACTACTTCTTCAAAATCAAGTGAAAAACGATGTCCCGCCACATTGGGATCCGTCATTGTTATCTAGGTTGGTTCTGTCAGTTATTTGTTATTGAAATTCCTTATAAAATAAAGGAGCAACCCTCTATCATGTTCTTATCGGTCACATTTTAATTTTTAAGTTTTGTGATGTCAAAAAAATAAAAATGGACACTGTAAAGAATGCATGAGTTTTCTAAACACCGTATTTGAGGTATTCAAGATTAAATGCAACAAATGCAGAAGTAGGAGTGTTCGAGGAATTTACATGTGTTTTTTACTTTTTAGTGATTTGACAGACTTTTCGTAAGCTGTGCATGTCCGACCAAAATGCCCATAAAATATACGATGGAAGTTCTGTAGACACTAGACATTATTAACTCTGGCAACAATCTCGTCCCAATATATAAGTGGGCAGTGTGTTGTGACTTGTGAGGCTTACCGCTTAAGTCAAGTCAGCTACAATTTAGTTTTTATAACATTTGATTTATTGCTAATAAAAAATGACATGTATAATCCCTGCGCTCAAATAAGTTCCGTTTAAAGTTGTAAACCATAGCGTACAGAGTTACAGTAGCTGCATGATAATATTTATCCCAGTGAAAAGGGCATTTCTTGAATTCAAAGGAAAAATGTGATTTCCTTATAATCCTTCAGTAAAACAAGGATTTTTGTTAAGGGACAGAGGAAGTATTAAATAGTCAACATTATAGCAATATCAGTATCATATTACTAAATTGCCCATTAGATTTGGTATTAGAAGGTCTAATGCCAAATTGGCATGGTTCTGAAAAGTGTTACACACACACATGTTAGGCATATATGAGTACATGCATGGCTAGATATATATATGTGTGTTTGGAAGCATTTTCAATGGGTACAATTCCATCTGCAACGATGACCTTTTTAAAACCCTTACATCTTGAAACAAATGCATTATAGTGTTATACTAATTCTCATTTTTTTCCAATTCTTATTTGAATCAATTTGTGTGTGTGTATGTATATACGTACGGGGTCTAATTCCAGTTGGTACAACAAAAAGTACTTATTCCTGGAGACTGACTCTCAATTGTTTGATTTAAGATCAAACGGTCATGGTCATTCTAGGGTTCATATAATTTAAAATTAAATTTGAAACCTACTGAAACCATTTCCATTTGTGTGACTGTGTGTGTGTTTGCATAATGAGACGGGTGACAAGTGACAATTATAGTGTCCCAAAAGTTGTGTTTATCATATATGCTTGGTAGCTCTGATGGATGTGAACATGTGATTGCTTATTATTTTACGATGTATGCTAGATTTATCCAGATTTACGGGACACATATCATTGTGGGGATGGGTGTTGGAGGACATGATTTACTGTGTGTTAAACAGAGACCATCTTCAGCTATCCCCCCTGCTGAACTCAAAGGATATTTAGACGACCTTGGTGATTACCTGTTCTCTGATGGAACTAGCCCTCTTCCAGAGAGAGATAGAAGAGATGGTAAAAAAATGGTAATATTCATGTGTATTAGTTTAATCTTTTATTATGTGCTCATGTAACGTTTGCCTAAAAAACAGTGTTTGAATTTTAATTAATGTTTTAACCTCTTTAGGTACCTGAGGTATTTAGCCGCATGTTGCAATCACATACAATGCAATTCACTAGCATCACTGAAACATCAAGCAAGGATGTAAGATATCCTGTGACCTTAAATTACTAAACAAAAGTGTGTTAGATGCTTATGAGATATGACTGAATCTCAGGGTCTCACTGTCATATGGTCCAAACGAGGAGGTGATCTGTTTGCTCAAAGCCATTTGAAATGGCTCCAGACCCTTGTTGCTAACTCAGAAGGAATTTTCTTCAAACTCGTTCCAATTACTTCTCTGCTTGCTGGAATTCCTGGGAGTGGCTACCTCAGTCATGCTATAAACTTGTACCTTCGTTGTATGTCTTATTCTATGATATTACCTGTTCATGCCATTTTCTTATAAACACTCCTCTGCTCTAGCTCTGGCACTAAGTGCATTTGCAAGACACTGTGCACTGTGCTTACATGGAATGAGAGAGATGAAAGAATATAATAAATTTGAATTATCTCTTACTTTCCACATTTATCTATATTTTTGCTAATTTTCTTGTCAATGTCAAGTACAATGTCTAGAAACAGATATTGTTTTTGCTATTGTGGAGAAAAGTTACCATAGATATAAAAAATCGTGGAAAGAGAGCGTAATTGTATTGATTAATTTGCATGGATTTGTCTGTTTCATGCCACACATGCACTGTTCGCATTGTTGCATTGGAAATGCTTTAACTTTCCAGAATCCGGGACAGTAAAAGATCTACAATCCCGGTTGGTCCGCACCAGAACTGTGTGCACCACTAAACACAAGCTTCTTGCGATGTTTATGTATAACAACCTTATGGTTTTTTTATCAATTGGATCCTTTACCTGTTTGGCAGACAAACCTGCCCTTGAGGATTTACAGTATTTTCTTGAGTTCCAAATTCCTAGACAGTGGGCACCTTTGTTTTCTGAGCTGCCACTAGGGCATCATCAAAGAAGAAAGGTCTCCTGCCCTTCATTGCAGTTTAGTCTCTTCGGGCCAAAGATTGAAGTAAACTCTACCCAGGTACCCCTTTGGCCCATTTAATTAGATACACTTTCCTTTTATGTATGTCCCAAAATTATAAACATTCTCGTAATTTGAACTCTACTAACTTTCTACTTTCTCACTTAGTCCTTTTTATCTACCCTTGCACATTTTACTTTTTGTGGACACATTCATATTTCTTCTCTCTAGAAGGTTAAAATAATACAATTATAAAATAACAACTATCTATTTTTATTTTCTTAGATGTTGTCCAAACCTAAATACATCCTACACTTTGGGATGGAGGGAGTTATTTGTTATTTTTTGGCTCTGGGTGACTACAGAAGTACTCATACTCATGTGTCATCACCATTCTAACTTGAACTGAAATTTAATAGGTTTCAAGCTGTAAAAAACCAGTTATTGGTATGCGCCTATTTTTGGAAGGGAATAAGTGTAACCGAGTAGCAGTACATGTGCAACATCTTTCGAGTCTACCAAATATCTTAACACCTAACCCAACCTCTACAACCAAGCCATGCCAATGGCGAGGCTCCGATGACTACGAATCAAGCAATCAATTCTTAGAGGCAGTGAGATGGAAAAGTTATGCAAAGGTGTGTTCATCCGTAGTCAAGCATGATCCCAGCTGGATACAGGCTGTTGACTCCAGCGGTGTCTTTGTGGTGACTGGGGCCCAGCTCATCAGCACGGGAAAATGGCCAAAGAGACATCTCCATCTCCGTCTACTTTACACACACCTACCCAACTGCACTATTCGCAAAACAGAGTGGGCTGCTGCACCAGAATCTTCTTGCAAATCGAGCTTCCTAACGAATCTGAGCACTACATTCACACTCACCCAACGAACAATCACAGATGCACCACCTAAGCATCCTGCCACTACTATAAATTCAGGTGTGTATCCCGATGGACCCCCGGTGCCTGTTTGTTCAACAAAGCTTCTTAAATATGTCGATACAACTGAGGTTGTACGTGGACCAAATGATGCTCCAGGACATTGGTTGGTGACTGCTGCTAAGTTGGTCATTGAAGGTGGAAAGATTGGTTTGCATGCAAAGTTTGCATTATTAGATTATCACTAACAAGTCTCTTAGGACACTAAAAATGTACATTAAAGGGAGACATTCCCACGTGACACATAATTATTGGGTGATGGTCGATCACATATCTAATGTTTCCTCACCCGATGAATGTGTGTCATATAAGAATGTCTCTTGTAACCCGCATTATGTATATTTTGAATTTCCTCCTAGACTTGGTAGATTATTTATCGGAATGATAGACAGGATATACTACTATATATGTACATTGGAAAGACAGTTGAGCCTGATCTTTGTGTTCGTTTTCAAGCAATCGGCTTCATGCATTTGCCGCGGAACACACATCATAGTCAGTGAGTGAGTGACTACACAAAAAAGAAAATGTATTATAGTTTTGTACAGAAGTGACCGCGGAATTGGTGTGAATTCAGTTTGAACTTCATAGCAGATTATTTGATCATTTTAAAACCTTGTGTACATTTTATCAGAAGATATATTAATGAAAAGCCTCTATCTTCTGATGCAGTTACCTACATGTATTACTCCGTATCTTTTATAGTATATCTTGATATAAGTCCTGTTTGTTACAGATTACTGGTAGAAACGATAATAATGATGTATTACTCCGTATCTTTTATAGTATATCTTGATATAAGTCCTGTTTGTTACAGATTACTGGTAGAAACGATAATAAATACAGAATTGTGGTGGAATAATGCGAGAAAATAAGAGTAAATATTTAAATAGGAGACACATTACTGTTACAATAGTAAGAGAGAAAACGAGATATAAAACAGAAGGCACATACTCCGTATATTGTACTGGCATTACTTTTATTAGGGGTTTACAGAAATTTATATGCCTTCATCTTAGGAGCTATGTTTAGCATGGATATTATCTAAAACATACATGAATCTAAAAGTTTTGTTTTGTTTTAGAAAAGAAATCTAAAAGTTTTGTTGGCAATGGACAAAATGAACTTGGAAAAACATATACTCCGTATGAAATAGAAAAAAAACTGTGGTATATTCCAATATTGAGTTTGTGAATAGATTAGTAGACGTTTTAGGGTGTTCCTTTGTTCACATTATTATTGCTCATTGTAAAAAATATTCAAATAAAGTAAAGAGGTTAAAGATGTTTTTAATTGGATTGGTGTCAGTTCTGGACCATACCAAATCAAATAAGATCAGACTTAACAAATCAGATCAAATAAGACTTCCATAGTTGTAAAATACACATAACAAACATCTATTAGATCAGATCATACCAAGCCAGATCAAACCAGAACTAAATAGACCAATGCAGATAAATCAGTCCAATAAAAAACATGCTAAGTTCGGGTGAGAAACATTCATATTGGATAAGATAATGCAAAATGGACAGGTCCTTTGATAGTTTGATAATTGATATACCTTGTACAACATGAATGATATTTGGATTAGTTCTGGTGTTTACTAATATTTTAAACAACACATAACACATTAGATCTATCTCTTTGAATTTGCTCATATTTGATACATGATTGTTGTCTCTTACTACTTGTATCGATCTGGCCAAATTTCTAGCCCTATCATGTGATTTTAAGTGACAGAAATTTATCCGGAAGGATCACAAGTGGGTAAAGATTAATAGTCATATGTAAAAAATTGGGGGAAATAAAAAGCATGAACTCAATATGAAATCGATACAATACTCACAACAACAATTTCCAAGCTTTAATCTCAAAAGAATTTGGAGTCGACTAACATGAATCGATCCATGATACTGATGCCAAAAGAGAAAGACAAAACAAAACGAATAAGATAAAGATAAGTAAATATAAGATAACAATAACATAAGAATATATGAAAGATAAAAGATAAAAAGGTAAAAGAACATAAAAAGATAAAGAAGATAAACGATAAAAGAAAACGAGAGAAGAAAGATAGAAAAGAGATCAATCGTCTATAGAATGTGCACCCTCCACTTTGCTCCCTCCAAGGCCATGCTCTCATCCAACCCAAGAAAAAGACGCACATCTGTTCTGATTCCTCTAATTCAAGTGTGTTTGGGTCTTCCCCTCTCTCCTTTCTGTCTCTTCTCCCCACCCCTCAAGTCGTCTAACAGGTGCGTCACTCGGTCTTCTATGCACATGCTCAAACCACCGCAAACGAGACACATGCATCTTATCTTCTATAGTTGTTACTCCCACCTTTTGTCTTATCTCATTCCTCAAGCGGTCTTTTCTAGTATGCCCACACATCCAACGCAACATACACATCTCTGTCACACTCATCTTTTGAATGCAGGCCTAATTGTTGTTCGATAAAATTTACCTTTCAGTATACTCGGCATACCTCGATCACATAGAAATCTTGATGCACTTTTCCATTTCATGGGATACATCTCCATGCAACTTACCATCCTTCTGAGTAACGAAACATATCACACACTGGTATCTCCTTACCATCAAGAGTAATCTCACTGTTGCTACTACTTCTACCTCCACCAAACTTGCACTCCATATACTCAGTCTTGCTTCGACTCAGTCTGAGACCCTTGGTCTCCAATGTTTGTCGTCATACTTACAACTTTTCTTTAACACCCGATTGTGTCTATCAATCAATACAATATCGTCGGCAAACATCATGCACCACAATATATCTTCTTGAATTGACTTCGTAAGTTCATCTATGAGACTATGACTATAACAAATAAGAAAGAACTCGGAACCGATCCTTGGTGCACTCCGATAGTAATAGGGAACTTTGCGGTCATCCCTACACTAGTACGCATACTTGTAGTACAAGCCTCATACATATCCATGATGATACTAATATACTTACGTGATATGTCTTTTCTAGTTAAGGCCCACCAAAGGGCTTCTCGAGGTATCCTATCATATGTCTTTTCTAAATCAATGAACACCAAATGGAGATCATTTTTAGTGTCTCTATACTTCTCCACAACTTGTCTAAGAAGGTGAATGACTTCATTTGTTGAGCGCCCATGCATAAACCAAACCGATTCTCCGAAATTTTCACACTTTTTCAATGTCTTTGTTCAACCACTCGCTCCCAAAGTTTCATGGTGTGACTCGTAAGCTTAATCCCTTGATAGTTGACACATTCTTGTACATCACTCTTATTTTTAAATATGGGAATGAGAGTACTCTTCCGCCAATTCACTGGCATTTTGTTGTTTCTCCAAATCATGTTGAAAAAACACGTTAGCCACTCAATGCCTTTCTCTTCCAAACTTCTCCAAACCTCGATCAGTATGTCATTTGGGTCCACTGCTTTCTTCCGCCTCATCTTTCTCATAGCCTCTTTAACTTCTATTGTTTGGATTTTCTCATGAAATCTCGATTTACCATACACTCTGGTATAGTAAGATCATCAATACCTTGCACTATATTCTCATTGAACAAGGTATCAAAGTATGACCTCCACCTCTCTTTTATTTCCTCGTCCTCCATTAGTACCCTTTGATCGACATCTTTCACACACTTAACTTTTCCGATATTTTGAGTCCTATGGTCACGAAGGCAAGCAAGTCTGTAAATATCTTTTTCTCCTTCCTTAGAGTCCAATTTTACATACAGTTCCTTGTTCACTTTTCCTCTTGCTTCATTTACAACTTTTTTTGCTCTTCTTCTAGCCTTCTTGTACTCTCTATGTTCTGGTCGCTCCAACTTTTGCCCAATTTCTTATAACATTCTCTTTTGGTTCTTATCACTTGTTTCACCTAATTTTAATTCCCCTTGTACCTTAACTATGTCTTCTCTTTTTTCGATATTAGTGAAATAACTATTGAATGGTTTCTTACTCAATTCAATTTATATACGATGTATCATGGATAGCAAGCGTGCATAATTGCATATTATCGTCCACCTGGTTGACATGGTTTATTCTATTCATCTAACAGTGGCAAACAATAGAAATAGGTCGATGCATGTCACGTTTTTGTCACCTTATTACTATGGCATTATATTTGCTAAAAAAATAACCACAAGAACTGGCCTTGTATTTGCCAGTAACTAGATGCACCGTTACTCATGGAAAATATAACTGTTACAAAGTGGGAATCAGTTTGATATTTGATAACTGATTCAAGATTGAATATGTTTTTACATTCATCAATGTGTGTTTCTTTAACTTTTAAATTGGTGAGAGCCATGCACAGTTGGGGAATTGTTTCTTAGCCAGGGGAAATTCTCCTTGTTTGCACACAATGCTAAAAGCAGAAGGCATGGCAAGACTGGCACAAACATTAATCAAGAATTTCTTCTTTCCTTTGATCTTGACTCTTAACTTCCAGCATGACGGGACACAAAATTCTCAACTAGCGGGTTTACAAGATGGGGCGCCTCATCCTACACCAGCAGAAACACCATTCTATCCATCAACAAACCATTTCTGACTCCGGAGGAGTTTCTTTTACAGATGCATACTTCCATACAATATAACAAAGTTGTGAGTTGAGGAGCAAAAAGATGTATAAATGAGATTAATGTCATTCTCCTTTTTTCCCAAATAGAATTCAGCACTGGGTTGGAGTGACTCAATGGGGACATAATGCTGCACTTGTGATAAACCACATAAATAAATTTAAACTCAATCCGCTAAGCGCTAACTAAGATTTTGTTTGGTATAGCTTCTGTTTGTTTTTAATTACAACTACAAAATGTCGTTTTCAGTTTCTTGTTGGCAGTGTTTAAAATAAACATGATTACTATAATTATGATTATTTTTTAGTTCATCACAAAGCATATAACATACATATTTCAAAATTATATAACAAAAAACTGAAAACTGACAGTGATACCGAAAACTTATAAATCCATCATTCTCTCACTTTTCACATATAGGATTCTAACAATTTCAACCAATGAGCACTACTACATCACTAAGGAGTCGATGCTTGAGGAGAGAGAGAACCTGAGGACAGTGGCCAACATCAGGGAGGACAACGAAATCTTCAACTGTATTAAATTTACTGTATGCTCTTCCAAGCTCTAATGGCTCCCATGGATCCTTGTCTCCCCAAGCGACTAAAACAGGGCACTGTAAGAATTGTAGAGGGTCAACATTTAAGTACCTCCCATTTCTTTGGTGAATGAAGTATATGAGAAGTTAGAAACTATGTTTACCTTTACTTGAGGCAGTAGTTCTTCAGCAAGAGGCCCTCCAGAGTAGCATATGAACTCAAGAAAGACATCTGCAGCACCAGGCTCAAGTCCTGGACGAAGGATGGCTTCTACTAACTCATTCGTCACCTGGGTTGTGTCATGGTAGCACTGCAATATACATGCATTAGATCATTGCTTAGTTAGATTCCCAATATCAAAAGGAAAGGAACGTAAATGGCACTGAAAATTGTTGAAGAATATGTCTAGTTTTAGTTAATTTTGAATTAACACACCAATATAACGACCTTAGGTTATACGTAGTACTGTTTATGACCTTAAACTCATAGGATGAAATTCCAAATGTATGTAATGCATATGCAATTATGCATATCACTAGTCATTTGAAAGCCTGAAAATAATGCACGGCTATAGAG